TGATACTTCTGTCTTTTTTTGAACATTTGCTTTGAAAATCTTTTTCTATCCTATCTCCCTAAGTGTATGTTTGACTTTGTCAGTGAGATGCATTTCTTGTAGGCAACATATGGGTGGTCTTGCATTTTCAATGCAACCCATGATTGTATGTATTTTGATTGGAGAATTGAGACCATTACCATTCAATGTTAATATTGAAAATTATATATTGTTTCCTCTTATTTTATTGTTTTTAAGATATTTGCTTCTTTCCTAGTCCTCATTTTCTAGTCTATGTGTCTAGTGGTGTTGATTCTTTTCTGGTTGTGTGTATTTTCCTCTTTTGTGTATATGACTTCTGTAATTGTCTTCTGTAATGCTGGTTTAGTGGCCATGAGTACTTATTAATTTAGTTTTGGCTTACTGGGCTTTGAGAAATAAAGACTTTACATATACTAAAAAAATTCATGACCACTAAGACAGTATTGCAGAAGATACTTAAAAGGAACCCTACACACAAATGAGGAAGAAACATAGTCACAATCTTGAGAGCTCAGGAATGAGTAAATTTCATGAGAGGCATGTATGAACAAATGAGAATTAGGACAGTATAAAACATGTTTAACTCAGAAAACCAACAAACTGCTAACACGAGTAAGAGAGAAAGAAAATAACAAATATTACTTAAGTTAACCGGAAAAAAAACCACTTTGTAAATGGTACAGTATACCCACACCTAGCCACAACATTAAAAAAATTGAGAGAAAAACCAAAAAACAATAAAAATCGTAGGCATCAGCAAATACCACTCAATAATAACCGTAAGTATAAATGATTGTAACCCTAATTAAAGACACAGACTAGTTGAGTGAATTAAAAATCATTTGTTTTTTTTTTCTTTTCATTTCTGAAAAACACATAACTTGCTAGCAAGGATACACACAGAGTGAAATTTAAAGAAACCAAATTAATCAAAAGAGATAAAGAAGGAAACTACATATTAATAAAGGGAACAATCTGGCAAGAGAGTATAAGAAATATCAATGTATATGCACTGAACTTTGGTTGATCAATTTCATAAAACAAACACTACTAGATATAAAGGGACAGACAGTTCCTGGTATGGTAACAGTGGGTGACTTTAGTTGCCCCACTCTCATTAGCAGATTTTCCAGACAAAAATCAAGAAACTTTGATGGTAAACTGCCTTATATTTGAAATGAACTTAATAGATGGAATATTCTGCTGCAGAGTACACATTCTTCTCAGCATGTCATGATTCTCATCTTTTTGTCCAAAATAGATTACATTTTCAGTCATGAAGTAAGTCTTCAAAGATGAAACACAACAGTGAAATAATTTTATGTATTCATAATGGAATAAAATTAGAAATGAGTAGAATATAAACTGTGTAAACACAATGAGATTTGAACAATACACTTTTGAATGTTTAGCAGGTTATTGAAAAAATCTGGGAGGAAGTTTAATAAAATTCCTCAAATCTAATGAAACTGAAAACACAAGTTACAAGGTCCTTTGGGACACGTGACAGACAGTTCCAAAAGGGATGTTTTAGCTAACGAAATCAAAGGGATCTCAAATAAATGATCTATTGATGCTCATTAAGGTCTTACAAAAGTAAGAACAAACCAAACCCCAAATTACTACACAGAAAGAAATAACAAAGGACTGGGTAGAAATTAATGAAATGAGACCAAAAGAATAATACAAAGAATCAACAGAACAAAGAGTTAGTTCTTTGAGAAGATATACAAGATTGACAAGCTATACCTATACCTAAGGAAAGAAAGAGAAGGCAAGATTAATGAGATTACAGATGGAAAAGTGGATATTACAACAGTAATACTGAAATCCAAAGCATTATTTGGGAACATTTTGAAATTTTACATTCCAATAAATTGAAAATCAAGAAGAAATGGATAATTTTTAGACATGTCTGACCTACCAGTATTGAACCAAAAAGATATAAGTAAATAAATTGCAATAAGATCAAACCATTAATAGTTTCCCCAAAAGAAAAGCCAGACAATGAATGGATTCACTGCTGAATTCTATCATCTCCTAAAAGAACTAACACCAATGCTTTTCAAACTATTCTATAAAACAGAAAGGGATGAAACACTTGCAAACTCATCCTGTAGACAGTTATTAATTACCCTGTTACTAAAACTGCATAAGAACACAACAAACATCTATAAACCATTTTCCTCAATGATCATAAATGCAGAAATCCTCCATGAAATACTTGCAAGCCAAATTCAACAACACTAAAAGAACACATTAATAAGAACATATACCACAAAACAAGTTGGTGTTACTTCAGGGATGCAAGTATAGCTCAACATGTGCAAACCAATAAACAAAATACAGCATATAAATAGCAACAAGGGTAAAAATCACAAGATTATCTCGATAGATGTAGAAAAAGCCTTTGACAAAATTCAATATCCCTTCATGATAAAAGCCCCACCAAAATTAGGAATGGAAGGATCAAATGTCAATATAATAACAATGATATGCCACACTCTATGGCTAACATTACATGGAATGGTGAAAAACTTAAAATTTTTTCCATGGGCATTCATTTACACCACTATCATTCAATACAGTGTTTGAAATCTTACATCAATAAAGCAGGAGAATGAACTAAAAGGGATACAAAACGACAGGAAGAAGTCAGTTTATCCCTACTTTCAGACTGTATAATCCTATACTTAAAATGCAGTAAGGACTGCACCATTTCTTAGATATGATAAATGCTCTCAACAGTGTAGCAGCATACAAAGTCAGTAGCTTTTCTATATACCAGTAACAAACAAGCTGAGAAGAGAATCAGAACAATGGTATTCACTATAATTTTCAGTAAAAACAAGAAACCTTAGGAATAAACCTAACCAAGAAAGTGAAAGAACTGTATACTAAAGAGTATAAAACTATGGGATAATTTACAAGTTTTCATTTCAATTGTACATGAGTGATTTCTTTTCTCTCATGAGCTTTCTGAGGGCATCTGTGGACATAAGTGACATGTCACATATTTCTCTGGGTATTTGTTAAGAAAATGTTTACCCAAAAACAGGTCTAACTAATAAGCTTATTTAAGAATAGGTATGTTCTCAAACAGTATTGCATATGTATTTAATATTCTCTTTAAAAGCTTGTTATTCAAAGGAATATTGTGATAAAGTCTTTACTATAGAAAAGTAATGGGTGTTTCTTATGTTAGATTTACTTTAAGTAGGAAATATCTGTTTTATAAAGTTCGGTGTTTAACTGTAGTATATTAAAAGTACACAGTTGTTTCTAGTTTATTGTATTAATTCAAAAAGAACACAATTTTGCTCATGCTCGCAGGTATAAGAACATCTGTCAGCAAAGTAGATACTAAAGTTAAGTATATTTATTGTTATCTTTTAGCATAACAGATTGCTAAAATGGAATATTATGTTTATAACAAACATCTAATTATTACAAAACAAACTATTTCTACTTTACATGCAGTGTTAAACTTGGCATTCTTGCTTGAACTACTTGAAAGTTCTATAGCCATGTACCAACAAATGCTGGGTGGAAAAGTCTTTTTATCACTGCCTACTGGTCATATTTTTCTGTAATTGAAGAACATTTTTGTCTTATGACTTAAACACAAGTGTAGACATGGAATTATAATAGGTGTTACAGATGTAAATAATGAAGAAATTGATAATGAAAGTAGGCGCTAAAGGAAAATGCTCATGTACCTTCATCAAGTTACCATATCACTTCTCTTATTTTTTTGCTAGTTATTCCTTTGCTGTATTTACATTAATCTTGTTTCCTAGATATCTTCTCATTTTGTTTTGCTTAAATGGATTTAGTTTTTTGCATGATTTTTCACTGACAAAATCAAAATCTTTGTTGTAACAAATATTCTTTTGTGCTCTTACATTTTAATATAGAAGCCTTTTCTTATCAATATGTAGTATCAACAGCATAAATTAAATGGGCTTAGTTCCTTTCAGTTTTGTGTCATTAAAATCCCTGTTTTTTTTGTTTGTTTTTGTTGGTACTGGGATTTGAAATCAGTTTCTTGTGGTTGCTAGGCAGGCACTCTACCACTTGAGCCATGCTCCCAGCCTGTTTATACCCTTTTTTAAATGATCTCCTTTATATTAGTTACAATTGAACATTGTTACAATGAATGCTAATTTCTTATGGTTTCAACAAGAGATTGGTGGTTTCATATGAATTCTTTTACCTATTCAAGTGAGATTTTTCGAGTAAATGATTAATTTTAGAAGAAATATTTCTTTTCCTCATTAACGCATTCTTATCAGGTCACTCTTAAATAATCTGAATATGAAATTGTTTGAGAAATGATAGAAGTAAGATATCAATTAAGAAGAATAAAAATTTTTTAACCGCAGGAAAGAAAATTGAGAAGACTTTTGGAGATACTGTTTAGTTCACATCCAGTTGTGTTATATTTGAAATAATTATAACTGTCCTTTCCTTTGAAACAAGTGCTATTCTTTCACTAAGGATTGGTGTTTGAAGAATGGTAGATGGATCATGGGTAGCATTTCTTTAGTAAGGCTTTTTGTTTCTGTAGCATCACTTAGAATTTCATTACTGTTCTTTTATTTTTTACATGAAGACATACAATTTTCCTTGTATCTAAAGTATTAGAAATGTTTTTTTTCTATTTTATTTTATTTTTATTATTGTTTTGCTGGGGGTACATTATGATAGTTACAAAAGTTCTCACAATATGAATTCACCCCCCCATCGTTCTCCTTTCTCCCCCTCCCCCATTCTTTGGATAGTTTCTAAAAGTCTCATTTATCCATTTACAAACATTTAGAAGATACATGATAAGCCATATTTTATATGAATTAGGCATCATGAAAGGCCTTTGTAGATTGCTGTGTATGGCAGGATCACTGGGCCAACAAAATTACAATATTTTCAATTTAACAATGGGCTTATTGGATGTAATCCTGTTTTGTATTTATATTCAGATGACCTAGGACCTTGTTGAGAAGATGATTTACCGCTGCACTGAAGTCTAATCTTTGCTGTGAATCAGGTGACCCTATGAGAGTGGGATGGTTTTTCTATCTTTAAGACACTACAATAATATCTTAATTTATATCACTTTTTGGTATATCTTGATATCTGGCCATAGTCATCTACCTTTATTGTTACTCTTTAAGATTGCTTTCACTATTCCTCACCTTTTGCATTTCTGTATATATCAGCTTGTCAGTTTTTACAACAAAATGTTAGCATTTTCATTTGATTGTATTGACATCTTTACTATATTAAATTTTTAAATTCATATACTTGGTATATCTATTTAGGATTACTTTTGTAATTTTCTGCATAGAAAATTAGCTATCTTTTTATTTATTCTCAAACTGTTATTTGATGTTCTTATATTTTCTATTTTCATGTAGATAGAAATATAATCAGTGTTTATATTGAACTTTTAAATATTAATCTTGCTACTTGTCTATTAATTCTATTAGTTTATAGATTTTTAAACAAATTTTCTTTTAGTTAGTAATATCTTCTGAGACTGACAGTTGTAGTTAATATTTCCTTGCTTTATTGTTTTGTTTTGGTGGTTCTGGAGTTTGAACTTCGGGGTTATACTTTGAGCCACTCTGCCAACCCTTTTCTGGGTGCTTTTTTGAAATAAGGAATCACAAACTATTTGCCCTGGCTACTTTGTAAATTTTTTTAAATCAAATTAAAGAGCTACTTCTGGTTTGCTAAGAGTTTTTTTTTGTCATAAACTTATGCTGAATTTTGCATCCTTTTTGACAGTATGATGTTTTTATTTGTTTCCTAATTTACAGGATTACATTAATTAATATCTGAATGTTAAACTCCCATTCACTCTTCAATCTACTCCTATTCCCTTCTTGCTTTCATTTTTTTTTACTTCCCTCACTATGGCTCATGTGATTGTCACCAGTGGATTTTTTAATTTTAACCTTGATTATTTCTTCATGTCCTAGTTGGCCATTTAACATTCCACTTGAACATTCTCTCCTTGAAATGATCCACTGAGTTTATGTTGGTGTTCTTTCTTTGTTCTCTTTCTACTTCCTTATTCTCTCTGTTAGTAGTTCTTCTTCCCCTTCTAACTTTTAAAGACTCTTTCTGATGCTCAAAGACAAAGATGAATGCAAAATCAAGGCCAAGATGCCAAACTTTTCTCTTCCTTTTAGGTAATCATGTACCCAATTAAGGAGTTGATGCTTTTCATCAAAAGCAGTTTAAGCACCTGTCACAGGATGACCCTGAAGACCCTCGGGTTCTGCAAGGCTTCCCAGTACCTGCCAAGGAGAGAGATATGGAACCCCTTCCCGATTGAGAAAAATGTAATGGTTCCCTGCCTAACCCTCTTGTGACTATGTGGGCGTGGTGTCCAGTACCCCCCATGGGCTGCCAAGAGCATCAAAACAATTTAAGAAAATGTCACAGCCAAGAGGAGCTCAAGTAGGACCATGATGACCAAATGTAATGTGCTAGGGAAAAGCCATTCGGAACAACTAAGTAAATCTGAATAAAGTATGAACTTATCTTTAAGTTCACTGATTAAGAAAAATGCAGCACATCAATTTAAGATGTTAATAAAGAGAAAGTAGACATAGGATCTTTGGGAGGTCTGCACAGTCTTCCTGATAATTTGCATGAATCCAACTGTTCTAAAACTGAAAGTTTATTTAAACACGAGTTTTGTGCATGAGGATTTTTAAATCAAATTGATAATGGCAGAGTTGTTCTGGAATTAATATGTTTGAGTGGCACATTCCTAACTTCTAAATTTTATTTCATTCATTCAACAGAAATTTCCAAAGTCCTTCTGTAATAAAACAGTATATTAGGTGCTGGAAAATACAATTCTGCCACTTTATTCTGAAGGTGCATTGCTTAGTATGAGGAATGGAGACATGCGTTTGGCAGCAGGTCTGGGGTCACTGACTGAACTGAACTACACATCTCTCCTCTATGACAATAAGCACACGTTTCAGTTCTTTTTCAAGTCATTGAAGTGTCAACCAAAACCTTCCATTCCTTCCAACCACTTGATTGGGTTTATCACTGTATCAATGCATTGCTTTACCAAAGAGTGTGAGGGTCGGGGGGGCATGACTCGAGTGTAGAGCTCCTTTCTAGAAAACAGATGCAGTCAGAATTGCTTCATAATCCATGGACAAGATGGAAGAAATTAGGATGTGGGAGGGAAAAGGTAAGACTCATCAAATGACATACCTAGAAAGTCAAGAAATTGCATGGGTGAGCCAGAATTCGCCATTAAATTATTTTTTCTGTAAACTGGGTTTGTCATCCATATGCCTACTGGCATGTCTTGTTAGAAAGCTAACATCACTCAAAAATGTTCATTAAAAGCATGATCAGAGCAGGAATTAAATCTGGATCTTCTCTGTACTAGCTGTCATAGCAGACCTTCTCATAGATTAATGTAACCTTGTTAAAATGCAGATTTTAATTCTGTACAGAAAGGATGGGTTGGGGTGCTCAGATTCTGGATTCCTGACAAGCTCCCAGGTGACATGAATGATGCCCTCTGTAACACATGCTGGGTGACAAAGGTTTCTAGTGGGGACCTAGGCATACATATAATACAAAGTATAAACTTGTAAATATTAGTTCCATGAATTATCACGAAATCCTGGATCCTTCCTAACCCTAGAATTGCCTTGTCCATTTTATAAATCTTTACTGTTCTTTCAAATGCTTTTGTTGTTGCCTTGTTTCTTGAATTTAATGTTGAGTTGCTCATTGCAAGTGCTATTTCTTAGCCTAGAAGAGCATTATCCTCCTTTTGTGAGACTAACATTTAGTCAATTTGTGGAGGTTCATCTAATTAAGCCATCTCCATTGTTCCCTGGGACCCACTCTGCCTGCTCCTTCCCTTGTCCCCAAGGCAAAGTTTTAACCTATAGCAAGGACAGTATTCGTCCCTTTGTCCTGCAGCAGGCAGTCCATTTATTCCCTTCATTTATTAACCTACCTCTCTGGGTCTCCTGTCACAGTCTTGGCTGAGAAAACATTTTGGCATTCCTGAGGTGGCCCAGGAAACCAGGAGACAGGAGCAGGTGCTCTGGGGACCTCACATGGGACCATGTAGCCAAGATACACAAATGGCACCTAAAATGCAAAGTGGCAGTGCCTAGAGAGGCAGGCCACAGTGGCGTGCATCCATCAGGGGCTGGCCAAAAATGGGACATCTGGGGCTCAATGGGGTGGGTTCAGTGTTGTGGACCTTGTGACCTTGTTGGTTGAATAGCCATCGTGCCAGTGTCCCAGGGAGCTTGGAGTACAAGGGCTGAGGTGAGAAGGGTACAGGGATCCCTGGAGCTGGCTCCCTGAGCAGGACAGTGGGGTGGTCTGGTGCTCTGAGCACCTCTGCAGGCCAAGAGGAAGGGAAGGATGGTGGGAGGGGACCCAGGCAGCTGTCTGCAGTGGGGACTCCCTTCCTGATGTAGCATAGCTCCTGCTAGTGTCGTTCCTGTGAAGGTGACCAGAGCCGCTGGTGGGGGAGACCACCAGTGAGCACTTCCATGGAGCACCATGGTGACAAGGCTGCTAACTCAGGGGGCGATGTGGCCATGCCAAGGGCAAGGAGCAAAGACCATGGTGGGGACCAGGGATGACCCCAGCATCTTCATCCTGCCAAATGTCAGGGTAATATCCCTGCTCCCACGTCTAGGTCCCTCCACTCACGACTTGGTCCCCGCCCCAGGTACTATGTCCTCGTGCCATGACGTGGTCCTGGCACCCATGATGCTCTTCACCCTGAATGTTCCTAAAGTGGTTTCTGGGATGGATGTATCAGGTGGCATGTGCCCTCCTCTTGCCACCTCAAAATAGGACCTAGGGAGGCAGAGTTCTTGCTTTTCTGGGCTCTGACTCCTCCAGGGCCACAGTTGAGAACATGTGCACTGGACACATCCTGGCCACCAGCCCAGCCTGGGTTCTGATCTTGTGCAGAGTGCTCTCTGTTACCCTGGATCATTTCTTCACCTCTGCCTCTGGTGGCTTGGTGCATGTCTTTGCTGACAACGTCTTACCTGTACATCATCTTTGATCTTCCAAAAGGGCCTCACATGGATCCTCATTTTGCATGAAAGCAAAATGAAGGGCAAGATGCCAAACTTTTCTCCTGTTTTAGGTAATTCATGTGCCCAAGTAAATCAATGCTTTTCAGCAAAAGCAGTTCAAGCACCTGTTACAGTATGACTCTGAAGACCCTCGGTTTCCACAAGGCTTTGTACTATCTGACAAGGAGGAAGATATTGAAACACTGCCCAATTGAGAAAACTATTACTACATGGGCATGGTGTCCAATACACCCTAGGCTGCTGGTGCCAGAGGTACCAAGCAGAGAGCATGGAAAGAACACAAGGCAATACTCACCACCATGAAATTAAGTCTGCAGGAAGAAACAGGTATGCTCCTCTTTGCTGCCTACAAGTGGTTGAGGAAGCAGCGTAGGATTCAGAATGTGGATACTGTAGTCTCAAATATGGGTGCAGAGATAATTGAAAAGTGGAAGAAAGCCTGGGTCATAGACCCTCGACCTTCAGCAGCTACTCATTTGTTCTGGAAATTTCTGGGCACCACAGAGCCTCCCAAACCCACCTACACACATCTCAGTATCAGAGTAATCAGACACTTGTAACTCCTGAGTGGAGAGTTGACACGGTTTCCCCTTAGACATTAGATTGTTACACTATGCAAGTTCACTGGATGTTGTAGTTGGATATGAGGTACAACTCTGTCAAAGGTTATGTGCTGAAGGCTTGACCCCCAGCTGGTGGCACTATTCAGAGATGATTGATAGGATCGTAAGGACAACTGAGAAAATGAGGTGGCTCAGGGCATCACTCCCTCTCTGCCTACCCCTCTCACCCCAATCTCAGCTTCTCTGTCACCAGACCCTATTGTACCCTACACTCATACCCTTGATCATCTGTTACTGGAATTCAACCACAAGTCAACAGCATTAAGTTAATTCACTCACATAATCTATTGAGCAATGATGGGCCCTGTTTGGTTCAATATGTGGGACCAATGAAATAGCATATTTATAAGTCTTTCCAAAATAGATTCTCACAGCATGTACTCAAGGTTATATAGATAACCATTTTAATCATGCTATAAGCTTGGGAAGCACTCTTGTGGAGCTAGGATGTAATTCATAAGTAACACACATATTAACTGGTGTTCAGTGACATTAAAAAACAAAAATATGTGGTGTGTGGTTGCATATGGAAGAAGGTGGAGACAGTAGGATCATGAGTTTGAGGTCAGCCTGGACTACAGAAGGAGATCCTGTGTCAAAAATCTAAAAAACAGCTGGGTGCTGGTGGCTCACACCTTGCTATCTTAGCTACTTGATAGTCTGAGATCAGGAAGCTCATGGTTTGAGGCTATCCTAAACAAATACTTCCAGAAACTCCATCTCCAAATAAGCAGACAAAATGAGCTGCAGGTGTGGCCCAAGCATTTGAGCGCTCCTACTTTGCAACAATCAATCAATCAATAAAACAAAAACAAAGCAAAAAAAAAAACCAAGAAAACAAAATATAAATGAAGCCAAAACAGCCCAACATAGAGGAGTAGATTAAGAAGTAGAAATGGCACACTTGGCTTGGGTTTGAGGAAAAACCAAGATCTGCCCCAATGACAGAAAAGAAACCAACATAGAAATGTAATGTATAGAGATGTGACTCAAGCAGTAGAGCTAAACCCAAGCCCAGTGTTCAAATCTCTATTCATATATATATAATATAAATATGAAATATATATATATGTACATGTATATTTTCCAAAAGCAGACTATGGAGAAAAAAATAGGGTGGTTGATACATGAATGAATATAGATATCTTAAACTGGCCAGGGCCACCATGGGAAGGGGACAAGGGAGGAGTGAAGAAGACAGGTATAAATGAACCAATTGGGGATGTAATACATATATGCATGGAAATAATAAAAGGAAACTCCCCATGTAGCTATCCTTATCTCAAACTAGCAGAAATGTCATGTTTCTCTTTTCATCTATTATGGATTTTCTTCTACAAAAACTGAGAATAGGAGGGTGGACTGGAGGTGGGGGTTGGCACCAGTGAGAAGGGGTGAGGTGGCATGGAATGGATACAATGTAAATACTGTATACACATATGTGTAAATGCAAAAACAATACCTGTTGAAATTGTTTCAGGAATCAGAAACAGAGCAGTGAGGGGGTGAATTCAAGTATGAATGATAAGAACCTTTATAAATGCTACAATGTTCCCCCACCCCTCACAATATAAAAATAATAAATAAATAAGTGAAACCTGGAGTGATAAAGCACAGAAAAAATTTTAATCACTAGTAATTTATTCTCTTAGCATCATACATATCTCTCTGTTCTACATGTTTTAGCCCAGTTAGGTATAAGGGGAGAATATTCACACAACACATGACACTTGTACATCAGCAAAGTTTTACAGTTTTCATTTGACAAAAAGCCTTTTAATACATGCTCTAATGTTAAAGAAATGGGCTTCTGGGTAGCTGTGAAGAAAGTTTAACTCCTTGTAAGCCATTTCTTCTTTGATTTGATTTTGGCCATACACAAGAATAAGCAATGAGGCTTAGTTTCTTAGGAAAGAGAGGTGGCACAAGAGCACACAGCTATTGAAACTAGCAGATGACCAGAAAGCACTCAACAGTAACTTCCACTGAGATCAGATACCTGTTATGTTTCAAACTAGGCTGACAGTTGGGAGACAGAAGACATTCTATGACACCCTCCACATTCTAATTCTGTTACTGTTGCTCCAGGACATTACCTGGCAGTCTGGGCCCTACCTCCCTCTCTCCTTGTGGAGTTTGAGCTACAGGTAGTGCCTTTGGATGTGAATTCTGGCATCCTGACCCTTCTTTACAGGGTTAAGGACTCTCAAGTGGGGTGTTGATCAACTTTCTTTCAACAGTAAGTTAATAGTTACAGTTACTGTCATCCTTCAGAACTGATGACACCTGTTTGAGTTCATGTGTTTGGGTTTCTTCTCCACAGTCCCTGGCTTGGATTCTTCTGCCACAAACACCATCATGGCAGGATCTTCCAGCCCTTTTTCTGCTTCAAGGGCAGATATGAACATCCTAGAAATGAACAAGAAATTGTGCTTTCAGCTTGAGGAGACAAAACAGCAGCTCCGAGACTTCAAAGAGAAGTTTCTTATATCTGAAGCCACTGTGTATTCCCTGGCCAACCAGCTGTGGAAATACAGTAAGTTTTGTAGGTTGATAGTCACTCAAGTGGTGAATGAGCACGTGTTTTCTCTATGAGAAATGAAATGTCTCCCCAACTTGATTCTTCACTTCCCTTTATCAAATAAATGTCATCCTTCCCATATTCCTAGAAACATAAAGATGAAATTTCTCCCTGAATTTGCTGAGGGTAGACAAATGGTGACACAAAGGATCACAAAGTGTACAGGGTGGGACTAGGGTTAAAATCCTAGTTACTGATATCTGATTAAGGGAGAGAATTGCCTGCTTTTCTCAAGAACTGGTTAAAACATATTTCTTGGGCCATGTCAGATCCTGCAAACATAACATCAGTGTTGAGACCAACACAGAGGCCTGGCCCTCACCAGCTGAGTTTAAGCTTTGATTGGATTCTAATTGGCCAAGCTCTCTACTGGTCATGCTAAAGACATGGCAGTGGAGCACAGTACTTGCTTCAAATTAGGTACAGGGAAGTCTCCCAGTAACTGAAACTGTGGCATCATAAGTGACCCCACTGAGACCAAAGAAACCCTGGTGAGGGGAAGCACTAGGACATCCTGGGGGACAGGTTCTTCTTATATTCCAGAAGGGTCATTTGATACTCTGTGGAGCAGAGGAAGGTACTTCTGAGATATCAGACAATCCGTAATTCGCCCTCTCTCTGAGCTGGTAAATCTTTATAGTTACTGAACAGCCAGCAGTTCCAGGTGGACTTCAAGTATCTCAGCTATGCAACATGAGGCCAAAGTGAGAATGGGGGTGTGCAAAGGAGACCACCAGCCAGAGAAATATGCAAGCCAGGGTGACAGCAGGATCTCCCCTCCCACAGTCAGCTGGGAATAGGAGCCCATCAGCCTGTTTGTAAGAGGATCTGTAGTGACTCAAGGAATCATGTGAACAGGGGCCATGCACAATAGCTAGCAAGTTTAGAAGGAATCATTCCAACTCTCAGCTGCATTTATCCTCATTTATATGCAATGTCTTTTTCAAAACTTTTTGAAGATTTTTTAAAATTGAAAATAACTCTTAAAAAGTAGAAAATTAGAAGTCTTTTAAGGAAGTTCAGAGGTAAGTTTTGAAAGAAAATATCATCTTTTTAGAGTTAGAATATAATTGTAAGAAACAATTTTGAACTTGAAGAAGGAAGATATCCCCAAGACAGTGTTGAGGTAACAATGGGCCTTGGGGCAGACTCAGGAAATGGTTAACCCTAGTGTTTGAGCAGAAAGGAACTCACTGCTTCAGACCCAGCTCAGTGTTTTGACTTAGAAGTGCAAGGCTTGGTAATTACAGTGGTCCTAGATCAGAATCAGACCTCAGTGATGTGAATTCTGACTCTGCCATTTCCCAAGTGAGTCATTGATGAATTTGCTTACGTTTGAGCATGATTTCTCCAATGGAACCATTAAATGTAATCTAGTAAAGACACTGGGAAATTAAAAAGTGAAATCTTTAGACAAAACCTGGCCCTGGGGCAATGTTTGTCTTAGGGAGGACACTGCAGTGTGTTCAGCTATCCACTGGGATGGGTGCGTCTGTCTTTTCTTAGAGTGTGGAGACTTCAAAGTCATTGAGTCAGTGCTGGGGGAGAAGCTGCAGCCCAAGGAGGGGGAGCTGACAGAGACGCTGGTGCTCACTGAGAAGCTGAGGTAAGGGGGCTCTGTGCAGGGCAGGTGGTTGGCTGGTGTGTGACTCTCTGAGGTAAATGTCAGCTGGGGGAACTAAGAACTATCCTGGGACAGGAGACAGTAGAAAGCCACACCCCCCAAAAAAGTCCATATCCAAAAAAATGTCCATTGCCAAGTGAGGAGGTGAAAGGATGTGTTTATTATGCAGATTTAGGAACGTATCTGGTTTTGACCACAGAGTGGACCTGGACACTGTGGAGGAATCTTACACCAGGAGCATTTTCTGACATAAGGGAAGACTTGGTTCTACCTGCCTTTTCCTTTTGCTTCAGACAGGTCACCAAACACATGCTGGAATTCTCCCAAGGGCTCATGAGGGATATTCTCACAGACATCTCTGTCAAAGCCCATACAATCTATGGTGTAACTCTTTGCAAGGCTTCATTTTCTCTCTGTTCTACCTCAGGGAATCTAACATCCTCATCAAAGACCAGGCCCGGAAGCTGTCCCAGTTAGAGCAGAAGTTACAACAGGGTAGAGATGTGTCATTTCTCCTCAGTCAACATCTCAAGGACCTCCTCACCCAGGATGACAGCAGTGATGAGCAGGCACCACGCTTCCAAGAGCAACTGGCTGAGGGGTGCTGGCTAGCTGAGTGCCTTGTCCTCAAGCTCAGTCCAGGTGAGATGATCACAGGTCTTTATTTCACCCAGCTATGCGAGATCCCCAGCTCACAGACACTCCACTTACAATTTGACTGTTACCAGCTGTTTTGGTTTCCAAGTTAATTTTTGGGTGAGGGGAAGAGCAGGACTGTCTGCATGGAAACACAAAAGATAAATGCACAGTGTGGAGGTCATTGTGTCTGCCTCCTCTATCATCCTCTCTCTGATGGATCATGGCCTTTGATGAGGAGGGCAGTAGCTCTCCAGTGTTAAAGCAGAAGAGGGACATGACAGGAGATAGCTTGTTAGAGTTAAAGTTGTTCCAGACTAAAAACAAAAGCTTCCCAGTCTCAGCTTATTTGTTTTCTTTCTAATTCTGGACAATTGATCATTTTATCTTTCCTGAAATTCAATCTTCTGATCTACAGAAAATGGATCACATAGTAGCTGTAGTCATCATAGGTAGGAATGGAATTTTCCTGAATGCATTTATAAAAGTAAAGACCCACATTCTTTGGGGCTTCTTAGGTACTTTTGGAAGACACAGATTTATATATACACTCCATAGCAGTGACATGGAAGAGTTCTATGCTCCTAAAAGTCCACTTTACTCCACCTATTCATTCCTACCTCCCTTACCTAGAACTCCAAAGACTCATATCTTTTTTCTTTTTTTTTTTTTGTTGGAATGAGGGTTTGAACTTAGGGCCTGCACCTTGAGCCATTCCACCAGCCCTTTTTTCTGATGGGTTTTTTAAAGATAGGGTCTCATGAACTGTTTGCCCAGGCTGGCCTAGAACTGCGATCCTCCTGATGTCTGCTTCCTGAGTAGCTAAGACTACAGTTGTGAGCCAGCAATGCCAGGCAAAAATCATCTCTTTATTTATTACCAGCCATGTTTATAAAGATTTTTTCTCCCAGTGTGTCCTTTCTCTTTTAGTTACCTTAACCGTGTTTTTCACAGAACAGAGGTCAATTTTAACAAAATCTGACTTACCCATTCTTTCTTTTGTGAATTGTGCTTTTGGCTAAACACAAACCCACAATCACCTAGATTTTGTTCATCATCTTTGGGCATTGTATAAAAAGATTGTAGGCTGGGGGTATAGTCCAGTGATAGAGGGTTTGCCAAGGATGTACAAGGCCCTAGGTTTCATTCCCAGTACTGGGGCAAAAGACAGTTTATGGTTTACGCTTGAGGTCTGTGATCCATTCTGATTTAATATTTGTGAAATTTATAAGGACTATATTCTGTGGCTTCTGAATGTCCATTTGTTCCAGCTTCACTTGTTCAAAGATTCCTTTTCCATTTCATAGTCTTTTCTTTGATAAGTGTCTTTGTGAGGATCTCTTTCTGAGTGTATGATTAATGGATTCTCTCAGGAGTACCACCCTTTCTAGGTTACTGAAGCTATGTGGGAACTCTTGAATTTGGGCAGTCCGTTTGTTGACTTTGCTCTCTTTCAACATTGTCTTTTCTGGGTCTTTTGACATTCCCTGGAAACTTGAGATTTGTGTTTGATATCTTCAGACTAATCTCTGGGTGTTTTCCTTGGATGTGCACTGCATCAATAGGTTGAGTTAGGAAGAAGTGACATCTTGACAGCATTGAGACTTCTCCATATACATGGAATATCAGTTTATATAGATAATCACTGAGGCATTTGGTCTATTTTTCCTTATCCTTACCCTTTCCCATTTGCATTCTCTACTCCTTTTTTCCATGAATGTTGCAGGTATAGAATCCACAAGCAGCTAGATAATGTGACGAACTGGGTAACACAAGATACTTTTAATAATCTTTCCATTTTCAGCACTGTTTGCAATGTGGGTGGTCCATCAATCTGAGAAGTGTTAGCTGATGAGTAATAAAACCAAGGCATGACATTCATGGGAATACAATGTATGAGATAAATACTACCATTTTCTCTTTGGATCTTGACATCCTCCATGGATATTTATGTCTCTCTGCCCAGAGAGGCCACTGTGTTTTTATAATGAGTAATGTGAGAGTACTCAATGCTTAACTAGTCATTTCTGACTTTGATTGCAGGAAATCATGAAGAGGAGGGAAATGATAATGATTACAAATGGCTTTCCCCCAGGTAACAATAAATATTCAGAGTTTGGGGTAGGATGGGTAAATACAAAAAGAGTCTGCAAATGAACAGTCCCAAGTCAAGAGCAGCCACATATTTCACAAAATGTCCATTGTCTTGGTGGTATTCATCTGTATAATAGGTGGAACTGTTAAGCCTGTGAAGTCTTTGAACTCACAGAATCTACCTGTTTTCTTTTGTTTGGATAAATTGCGGATGAGATGCTTATCTGGTTTCTGTATAGTTGGTCTCACCTTCTTGGCAGAGATTTCATAGCAAAAAACCTAACCAGACCAAAAAGAAAAACTGTATCTTGTCTCTCTATACATAAAGAGTCCTAAAATGCCCAAGACTCTTGAACTCTGCAGTGTCTCCACAGCATTGACTGTTCTGCTTGATGTAAAATCAGCATGACTTGTAGGAAAGGTTAAGCCACTCTTACAGCTCTCAGTGTGTGCTGTACATCATACAGCATACAGTGGTGGGGGGCATGGAGTGGGGGAGTTGAAAATCCTTCATCAGCTCACTTTCCAGTCAGCACACTGAGCTTCCTGTCTGGTGCCATCAAAGCAGCTATGCCTCATCCTCACCCTGGGGTTTTGTTTTTTATTCTCTTTGAAGGGAGTGTCACTACCATATGTTACCATGCCCTCATGCCCCTATCAGGAGAATGAGGGAAACTTGTATCTCATCCTCTTGATTTAATCACATTCTGTCCCACCAGGCTGAGCAGAGAGGGACAGGAGGAGAGAGTTAAAGAAACTCTTGAGGACTCATTGGATGAAGGTCTTAGGTCTTCCTCAAGTTACATTGACTTTTCCAAAGCCCACCATCATCCCAGCATCACTGATGCTCTGTTGGATGACTGTGAAGAATCTTCTCTGGATGCAGCTGGTAAGTACTCCCTTTTAAAGAGAACTGCACTCATAGCAACCATTTTTCTGGAAGTCCAAAGGAAATTTCCTAGTGGTGAACACCAATGAAGAGAGGTAAGGTTGAAATGACTTTAAATAGACACAACCACCACTGATGCCTGAGCTTATTCTGTAAGCTGGACAGTTAATCTCTCCTGTACTGTTCTTGCTAATTGTTGATACTGAACAACATTAGTGACCATCCAAGCATGTTGGTACTCTTGACCACATTATTGGAGATACTGTGGTCATGGCTCCTCAACTCCCAGCCTCAGTCTCTCTCTCCTGTAAGTTGTCTTCTCAATGACAAGGTGCCATATATGTACTGACATACACACACTTCTTGGATGTGTTTGGAATAATTCTGGGAGGCATGGCATGTGTTGTCCTCTCTCCATCCTCTTGAATGTAAAGTATCTTGTTCTTTGTCACGTAAGTCTTTTCTCCTAAGGCTCTATAGATTATATCCATCATTTTAGTCTCATATATAATCGCAACTTGACCAAGAACAACCAGAGTGTCTGATAGAGTAATGGCTGAATGTTGCAGAAACATTTCTAGAAAGTCAGTATTAAAGATTTCCTGTTGACTAGGACAAAGCATTGTTTTAAGTGATCACCAGATTCAGGACAGAGGCCATTGTCATTAATTGAGCAAGTCAGGAACAACTTGCTCTGTAGTTGAGGAAAAGAAACCTTTCTGTTTCTCAAAGGACTAAATCTGCAGGCTTTTGAGTATTTCTCTCAAGGTATCCTGTTCTCACACCAAGAATATTTACATCCATGTGCCTAAATTAGCACTATGTAATGAGTCATAACAAAAGTCTTCATTGTGATTGTTTCTGTCTGAATGTGTTTTGCAGGCACCCAAGATAATAAGAAGCAAGAAGAAGAGGAAGAGCCTATGATCTTCAGGTGATGTGAAATCATGGGTTAATTAAGCAGTGGTGTTACTTGGAGACCTCAGTTTCAAGGAAAACCAGAACAGGCTGAATATATCTTGTTTCATCTTTTCTGCCAAACTGGAATGGGGTCTCATTCTTTTTTTTTCCCCCCTACCCCCACCCCCTCCCTTACCACCCACTTTGCCCCCTCCCTCTCACCCCCACCCCCTCAATACCCAGCAGAAACTATTTGGCCCTTATTTCTAATTTTGTTGCACAGAGAGTATAAGCAATAATAGGAAGGAACAAGGGGTTTTGCTGGTTGAGATAAGGATAGCTATACAGGGAGTTGACTCACATTAATTTCCTGTGCGTGTGTGTTACCGTCTAAGTTAATTCTTTTTGATCTAACCTTTTCTCTAGTTGCTGGTCCCCTTTTCCTATTGGCCTCAGTTGCTTTTAAGGTATCTGCTTTAGCTTCTCTGTGTTAAGGGCAACAAATGCTAGCTAATTTTTTAGGTGTCTTACCTATCCTCACCCCTCCCTTGTGTGCTCTCGCTTTTATCATGTGCTCAAAGTCCAATCCCCTTGTTGTGTTTGCCCTTGATCTGATGTCCACATATGAAGGATAACATACGATTTTTGGTCTTCTGGGCCAGGCTAACTTCACTCAGAATGATGTTCTCCAATTCCATCCATTTACCAGCAAATGATAACATTTCGTTCTTCTTCATGGCTGCATAAAATTCCATTGTGTATAGATACCACATTTTCTTAATCCATTCGTCAGTGGTGGGGCATCTTGGCTGTTTCCATAACTTGGCTATTGTGAATAGTGCCGCAATAAACATGGGTGTGCAGGTGCCTCTGGAGTAACCTGTGTCACAGTCTTTTGGTTATATCCCCAAGAGTGGTATTGCTGGATCGAATGGTAGATCAATGTTTAGCTTTTTAAGTAGCCTCCAAATTTTTTTCCAGAGTGGTTGTACTAGTTTACATTCCCACCAACAGTGTAAGAGCGTTCTTTTTTCCCGCATCCTCGCCAACACCTGTTGTTGGTGTCGTTGCTAATGATGGCTATTCTAACGGGTGAGGTGGGATCTTAGTGTGGTTTTAATTTGCATTTCCTTTATTGCTAGAGACGGTGAGCATTTTTTCGTGTGTTTTTTGGCCACTTGAATTTCTTCTTTTGAGAAAGTTCTGTTTAGTTCACTTTCCCACTTCTTTATTGGTTCATTAGTTTGGGGAGAATTTAGTTTTTTAAGTTCCCTATATATTCCGGTTATCAGTCCTTTGTCTGATGTGTAGCTGGCAGATATTTTCTCCCACTCTGTGGGTGTTCTCTTCAGTTTAGAGACCATTTCTTTTGATGAACAGAAGCTTTTTAGTTTTATGAGGTCCCATTTATCTATGCTATCTCTTTGTTGCTGTGCTGCTGGGGTTTCGTTGAGAAAGTTCTTACCTATACCTACTAACTCCAGAGTATTTCCTACTCCTTCCTGTATCAACTTTAGAGCTTGTGGTCTGATATTAAGATCCTTGATCCATTTTGAGTTAATCTTGGTATAGGGTGATATACATGGATCTAGTTTCAGTTTTTTGCCGACTGATAACCAGTTTTCCCAGCAGTTTTTGTTGAAGAGGCTGCTATTTCTCCATCGTATATTTTTAGCGCCTTTGTCAAAGACAAGTTTGTTATAGTTGTATGGCTTCATAAGTGGGTCCTCTATTCTGTTCCACTGGTCTTCATGTCTGTTTTTGTGCCAGTACCATGCTCTTTTTATTGTTACTGCTTTGTAATATAGTTTGAAGTCAGGTATCATGATACCTCCAGCATTGTTCTTTTGACTGAGTATTGCCTTAGCTATTTGTGGCCTCTTGTATTTCCATATAAATTTAATGGTAGATTTTTCAATCTCTTTAATGAATGTCATTGGAATTTTGATGGGAATTGCATTAAACATGTAGATTACTTTTGGGCGTATAGCCATTTTTACTATGTTGATTCTACCAATCCATGAGCATGGGAGATCTCTCCACTTTCTATAGTCTTCCTCAATCTCTTTCTTCAAAAGTTTATAGTTTTCATTGTAGTGGTCATTCACATCTTTTGTTAGGTTTACACCTAGGTATTTGATTTTTTTGAAGCTATTGTAAATGGAATTGTTTTCATACATTCTTTTTCAGTTTGCTCATTGTTGGTGTATAAAAATGCTAATGATTTTTCTATGTTGATTTTGTATCCTGCTACCTTGCTATAGCTATTGATGATGTCTAGAAGCTTCTGAGTAGAATTTTTTAGGTCTTTAAGGTATAGGATCTTGTCATCTGCAAATAGGGATATTTTTGACAGTTTTGTTACCTATTTGTATTCCTTTTATTATTCTTCTTGCCTAATTGCTCTGGCTAGGAATTCCAGTACTATGTTGAATAGGAGTGGAGATAGTGGGCATCCTTGTCTGGTCCCTGATTTTAGAGGGATTGGTTTCAGTTTTTCTACATTAAGTATAATGCTGGCTGTAGGTTTGTCACATATAGCTTTTATAATGTTGAGGTACTTTCCTTCTATTCCTAGTTTTCTTAGAGCTTTTATCATGAAATGGTGTTGGATCTTATCAAAGGCTTTTTCTGCATCTATTGAGATGATCAAGTGGTTTTTGTCTTTGCTTCTGTTAATGTGGTTTATTACGTTTATTGATTTTTGTATGTTGAACCACCCCTGCATCCCCGGGATGAAGCCTACTTGGTCGTGGTAAATAATCTTTTTGATGTGTTGTTGAATTCGGTTTGCCATTATTTTGTTGAGGATTTTTGCGTCAGTGTTCATTGAGGAGATTGGCCTATAGTTCTCCTTTTTGGAGGTGTCTTTGCCTGGTTTTGGGATAAGTGTAATACTGCCTTCATAAAATGTGTTTGGCAGTTTTCCTTCCCTTTCTATTTTGTGGAATAGTTTAAGGAGGGTTGGTATCAGTTCTTCTTTAAAGGTCTGATAGAATTCAGCAGAGAATCCATCAGGTCCTGGACTTTTCATTTTGTGGAGACTCTTGATTACTGCTTCAATTTCATTTTGTGTTATAGATCTATTCAGGTGATTAATTTCCTCTTCATTCAGTTTTGGATGATCATATGTATCTAGAAATCTGTCCATTTCTTTAAGATTTTCAAATTTATTTGAATATAGGTTCTCAAAGTAGTCTCTGATGATTTCCTGGACTTCCATGCTATCACCCTGTTAGCATTCCTGATTCTACTGATTTGGGTTTTTTCTCTCCTCATTTTAGTCAGGTTTGCCAGGGGTCTATCGATCTTGTTTATTTTTTCAAAGAACCAACTTTTTGTTTCATTAATTCTTTGTATGGTTTTTTTGCTTTCTATTTTGTTGATTTCAACTCTTATTTTTATTATTTCTCTCCAATTTATTTTGGGATTTGCTTCTTCTTGTTTTTCTAGGAGTTTGAGATGTATCATTAGGTCATTGATTTGGGATCTTTCAGTCTTTTTAATATATGCACTCATGGCTATAAACTTTCCTCTCAGGACTGCCTTACCTGTGTCCCATAGGTTCTGGTAGGTTGTGTTTTCATTTTCATTGACTTCCAGGAACTCTTTAATTTCGTCTGTTACTTCATCGATGATCCATTGTTCATTAAGAAATGAGTTATTTAGTTTCCAGCTGTTTGCATGTTTTTTGTCTGTACTTTTGTTGTTGAGTTCTACTTTTACTGCATTGTGATCAGATAGTATGCACAGTATAATTTCTATGTTCTTATATTTGCTGAGGCTTGCTTTGTGCCCTAGGATATGATCTCTTTTGGAGAAGGTTCCATGAGCTGCTGAGAAGAATGTATATTGTGTAGAAGTTGAATGAAATGTTCTGTAGACATCAACTAGGTCCATTTGATCTATTGCATATTTTAGATCTTGGATTTCTTTATTGATTTTTTGTTTGGATGACCTATCTATTGATGATACTGGGTGTTAAAGTTTCTTGCAACCAATGTGTTGGCACTCATATATGCTTTTAGGTCTTTCAGGGTATGTTTGATGAAATTGGGTGCATTGACATTGGGTGCATACAGATTGATGATTATTATTTTCTTTTGGTATATTTCCCCTTTTATTTGTATGGAATTTCCTTCTTTATCTTGTTTGATCAATGTAGGTTTGAAGTCTACTTTGTCAGAGATAAGTATTGCTACTCCTGCCTGTTTTCAGGTGCCTTTGGCTTGGTAAATCTTTTTCCAGCCTTTCATCCTAAGCCTATGCTTATTTCTGTTGGTGAGATGGGTCTCCTGTAAGCAACAAATTGTTGGATCTTCCTTTTTAATCCATTTCGTCAAGTGGTGCCTTTTGATGGGTGAATTAAGTCCGTTAACATTAAGTGTTAGTACTGATAGGTATGTGCTGATTCCTCTCATTTACTTGTCTTAGTTGTTTGAAGGTTTGATTGTGTGTACCTAAGTTGAGATTACTCTCTACTGTCTTGCTTTTTCTTTTCCTGTGGTTTGGTGCTGCCTGTCTTTTCATGGTTAAGTTGGGTGTCACTTTCTGGTGCAGAATCCCTTGCAGAATCTTTTGTAGTGGTGGCTTTGTGGTCACCTATTGTATTAGTTTCTGTTTATCATGGAAGACTTTTATTGCTCCATCTATTTTGAATGATAGTTTTGCTGGGTAGAGTATCCTGGGGTTGAAGTTATTTTCATTCAGTGCCCGGAGGATCTCACCCAATGCTCTTCTTGCTTTTAATGTTTCTGTTGAGAAATCTGTTGTGATTTTGATAGGTTTACCTTTGTATGTTACTTGTTTTTTCTCTCTCACAGCCTTCAATATTCTTTCCCTAGTTTCTGAACTTGTTGTTTTAATGATGATATGTCGTGGGGTAGTTCTATTTTGATCTGGTCTGTTTGGTGTCCTGGAGGCCTCTTGCATCTGTATGGGAATGTCTTTCTCTAGATTTGGGAAATTTTCCATTATTATTTTGTTGAATATATTACGCATTACCTTTGCTTGCACCTCTTCTCCTTCTTCGATGCCCATGATCCTCAAGTTTGGTCTTTTGATGGAGTCAGTGAGTTCTTGCATTTTCTTTTCACAGGTCTTGAGTTGTTTAATTAATAGTTCTTCGGTTTAATTTAATTACCATTTCATCTTCAAGTTCTGAGATTCTGTCTTCTGTTTGTTCTATTCTGCTGGATTGGCCTTCTGTTATGTTTTGCAGTTCTGTTTCGTACTTTTTTCTGAGGTTTTCCATATCCTGGGTGGTTTCCTCTTTAATGTTGTCTATTTTTGTCCTGTGTTCATTTATCTGTTCATTCATCATGTTCTCTGTTTCACTTTGGTGTTTATACAGTGCTTCTATGGTTTCCTTTATTTCTTCTTTTGCTTTTTCAAATTCTCTATTTTTGTTGTCTTGGAATTTCTTGAGTGTCTCCTGTACATTTTGGTTGACCCTATCCAGTATCATCTCTGTAAAATTCTCATTGAGTACCTGTAGTATGTCTTCTTTTAAATTATTCTTGTGGGCCTCATTGGGTCCTTTGGCACAGTTTATCTTCATTTTGTTGGAGTCTGGATCTGTGTTTCTGTTTTCTTCATTCCCCTCTGGTTCCTGTACTTATTTTTTGCTGTGGGGAAACTGGTTTCCCTGTTTTTTCTGTCTTCCCGTCATTGTCTTTGTTGTTGTTACTGTCCCTGTACTGTGTGCAATTAAGTATTTTCTAGCTGGTAATAATAACAATGGTAATATTTAGAATGGAAGGGTGAGAGGAGATGGAAAGCAAGAAGGTAAAGAAGAGGGAAAAACAAATAAACAGACAAGAAGGAGAAAACAGAACAAGGAATCAGACAAGAAAGTTTTAAAGGTATAAACAGGGAGCATTAGTGTACTAATCGACAGTAAGCTGAACAGGCATTAGAGAGACAGAGAGATAATTGAAAATAAAAAATAGAAAAAATAAAGATAAGAATAAAAATAAAATATAAGTAAATGAAAGATATATATATATATATATATATATATATATATATATATATATATAATGAAAAATAGAAACTATAAAAAAAAACAAAAAAACCAAAAAACCTTCCAGTTCAAATGAAATGAAATTTCAGTCTTAATTATTTGGGTGTCCGTCTCAGTCTCCAGTCCTGGAGATGGTGCCTCAGATGTTCTGTAGTTGTCTTATCAAAGGGGACACATAAAATAGAACAAAACTACAGACACACACACACAGAAAAACCCCACCAAGTGTCCCAAGTTCAAATGCAATACAGTTTCAGTAAGTTTTTCAGCATGCAGGTGTAATTCGGTTGTTCTCTCATCAAACATAGGGAGAAAAAGAAAAAAAAAGTCTGGAGACAGTGTTGTGAATAGTATCTGCAACTGTGGCTTGCCTGCCCGCTGCTGTCAGCCTGCTGTTACTGGAGGCCTTATTTATGCAGATCTCTGGGGTGAGCTTAGCACTCACCTGGCCCTGCAGGCTTTGTTTAGTCAGAGTTTTCCTGTGTGCCTCTGGTACAAGATTTTCGCTTTCCAAGCACACTGGGGAAGGTGACACTGCACCTGCTTTCTCAGGCCTTCATGTTTATTTACAGTTCATGGGCGAAGTGGATCTTCCCCACTCTCCTGTGCAGATTTCCTCCCACCACCACTTTTACAAGCATCCCTGCTCCAGATTACTGGGCGGTGCTGCTGCTCCTGCCAGCCGCCATGTTTGTTTACAGCTCATGTGGGAAGTGGGTCTTCCCTCCTCTCCTGTGGAGTTTTCTTCCCTCCGCCACTCTCACAAGCTTTCCCGCACCTAGTTGCTAGGCATGTGCCCCAGCTCCCACCACAGCCTCTCCAGCCTGCCCAGCTTGTTAATTTACAGTTCCAGGAAGGATTCCCTTCCCCCAATCTTCAGTGCTCAGTGCACCCCACCCCCTTTTTCTGCATGTCTTTATTATTCTTATTGCTTATTAGTCAGTTTCTCTTTTTTCCCCGGGTGGAGGTCAGTCTGTCCAGGGGGCTTTGCTGCTCTGGCCCAGGGTTGTCTGTGGGAGTACCACGGTACCAGGAAGCTCACCTTGTCCGCGTCTTCCCAAGTCATCTGGGCACAGGAGACTGGTGGCCCTGGAGCCCTCCCTGCTTCTCTGTTTAACGTGAAGTGGAGATACACTGCGCCAGCTGGAGGTGTGGAGGGGTCAAAGTTTTGCCTCTTCTTGGTGGTTTTGTCTGCAAAGTGTGTCTAAAGCATCTCTCCAAGATTTCACTATAGGAGGCTCGCTTTCTGCTTCCTCCTTCTAGCTGCCATCTTGGAATCCCCCTGGGGTCTCATTCTTGATGGCTCTTCTGTTAGTTTCCTTCTATTATTTTGTCACATTTATTAACCTAGACTCAGGGAAACCCCATTTCAATGATATTCAGGTTTTCTGGAAATCAGTGTGAACTTCTGCACTGACTTTTGTGAGGAAATTGGGAGGAGAGGCACATGCTCTTTCACAGCATTTCGTTGTCTGGGATTCCAACCAAGAAAAGGCAACTGGAATCAAAATATGAACTATATGCAATAATGAAAAAACAAAGTCTGGAATGCCCATATCAGCAAGGCTTCTTCACTGAAACCCTGCAAGTAAAGTGGAGCAAACTGCAACTTCTGTGGTCTCATGGTGTGTATGCCATGCCTGAACCACACAGGGAGGTTCAATCTCCTTGCTCATCAGCATGTTATCTGATCAGTGCATTGGGGAATGGCTGCTCTTCAACCCACCTCCCACTGAAAACACAAATGTACTGTTCTCTACCTCGACAACATCAGTTTCTAACATAGTCAGAGAGGGATTGCTTGGTTCCTCTGCTCCAAATGGAAAACCATTCTGCCTTGTCTGACCCCTAATTTATCCTCCCTTCAGAAAGAGTGAGAAGTTGTCAAGTCTAAACTTTCACTGTTTAACCTTTTCTTTTCCTCCCACACTTCCGTTCAGCAGGGATCTGCAAGAGGCTGCGGACATTAGTGCAGTGCTGCAGCACACAGTGGATGAGATATATGTGGCTCCTTCCAGTTGCCAGGACTTGTGTGATGTCCACCAGACTCCCGATACTCCAGCATCCACACCTGAGGAGCAGGTTGGGAGCGGGATTCTGGATACAGATGGTGAGTACACCAATAGAAAAAAGGGTAAAGCTCCCCATGGACTCCCTCAGAGCCTGCCTGTTCCATATCTCAGCTGTCTGTGTGGTAGAAATCTGTCTCTGCTGCAAGCCCTGCAGATACACCTCAGTTGAGTCAACTCTTGGACTGTTTACATGTGCAGACATAAGGGCAATCAGTTTTCAACCTAGTGTGGGGGCACACCTGTCTGACTTGATGCACATTAGACCATGAAGGCTGTGGAAACAATGCATGCCATGGTGAGGAAAGTCAATGCATCCTACAGTCTGTTTTGTTTTACTGGGTATTTTCATGTCCCTGTTACATGTCATTTCTGAACAGTGTTCCTTCAGCATCACCCATTGTCTAAGGGCGATGTTAAGCTTGCCCCTACTTTTGGAGTTGGTACTGCGATTGCGCAGCTCTGATCTCCAGTCTCTCTCCTCCTAGCTTCTCCTGAAAATGCATTCCTCTGAGCATCACTGTCATTGCCTATGTGAGGAATTTTCCTGAAGGAAAGGTCACACCCTGGCACCCCCACATTACATGAGTGGCAAAGATCCTGTACCCTAGATTCCTGAAAGTACTTCATCCATTGTGGGGGTTTATAGTTCACATAAGTCTAATCTCAGTGTCTCCTGTCATCTGAACCATGACAAGGAAGCTTTACAAGGCAAAGGGACCAAAGGCCCTGAAGGGAGCTAAGCAAGTCCCCCAGGACATCTGGGAGAACATGTTTGCTTCGCTGTGTTCGGGTGTTCAGGCTGTGAATGTGTTGATGATTTAATCGAACAGGACTGTGTACACACGTCTTCAGAAATGTAGAGCCAGCTACTCCTAGAACACATCCCAAGGCCATCCGCAGTGGTCCTCTCAGTATATCTGAGTTCAAGAAAGAATATTTAGGTCCCTTTCTTGGCAGCTGCTTAAGTCGTAGCAATGTAAGTTGACTTGTTCCATCTGATTATATTTACAGAAAATCAAAGTGGTTGCCAAGCCCAAGAAGGACAAGAGGCAAACTACCCAGTGTAAGTGATTACCATGGACTGTTAATGAGATCGATGGTGATATGGACATGTCCCCCATGGAACCCAGGAGAAAACAGCTCTGCAACTAGACAACCCCAAAGTAGATCCTTGAACTAATTTGCATGCCTGCATTTATTTCAGGGGTTGGAAAGCAAGTTGATTTATTTCTTACTTTAAAATAGAGTTCAGGTGAGCAGATAATGTTCTACGCTCTCTTATGGTAGGAAAAAAAGCTTCATATTGGACACAGTAGTGAAAGAACAGGGCCTGGAATCCCCACATCAGGAAGCATTCTTCACTGGGACTCTGCAAGTAAATTGCAGCAAAATGCAGGTTCCATGTTTCTCATGGTGTGCATGCCGTATCTGCACCATGCAGGGAGGTTGAGTCTCCTTGCTCAGCAGCATGTTATCTGACCAGTGCATTGAGGACCTGCTGCTCTGCAACCCCCCACCCCCACTCAACACCCACACTGTTCTTCAATTCCATCCACAGTCAGTCTCTGCGCTAGTCCGAGAAGGATTGTATGGTTCCTCTTCTCCAAAGGGAAAACCACTCTGCTGTCTCTGGCCCCTCATTTAGCCTCCCTTCAGGACCAACTGAGAAGTTGCCAAATCTAAACTTCAGTTTTTAACATTCTATCTCCTCACACGCTTGGGTTCAACAGGGAACTACAAGAGGTGGAGGACATTACTGCAGTGTTGCAGGACTCTTTGAATGAGAAGTATTTGATTCATTCCAGGTGCTATGACTTGTGTGACTTCCACCAGACTCTTAACGCTCCAGAGTTCCAACCTGAGGAACAGCTTGTGTGGTGTTTTCTGGACATGGATGGTGAGGACACCCCTGAAAATTAGATTGGGGCCCCAGAGGTCTTCCATGGAGCATTCCCAGTCTTTAGCTCAACTCTCTGTGTGATTGAAAGCTGTGTCTGCTGCAAGCCCTGCAGATACTCCTTGGTTTGAGTGAAACTCTAGGACTGCATTCATGCACACACATAAGGACAGTCAGTTTTCACCCCTCCTAGACTCAGGGCACACCAGTCTGACTTGATGCACATTAGACCATGAAGGCTGTGGAAACAATGCATGCCATGGTGAGGAAAGTCAGTGCATCCTACAGTCTGTTTTCGTTTACTGGGTCATTTCATGTCCCTGTTACATGTCATTTCTGAACAGTGTTCCTTCAGCATCACCCATTGTCTAAGGGCGATGTTAGGCTTGCCCCTACTTTTGGAGTTGGTACTGCGATTGCGCAGCTCTGATCTCCAGTCTCTCTCCTCCTAGCTTCTCCTGAAAATGCATTCCTCTGAGCATCACTGTCTTTGCCTATGTGAGGAATTTTCCTGAAGGAAAGGTCACACCCTGGCACCCCCACATTACATGAGTGGCAAAGATCCTGTACCCTAGATTCCTGAAAGTACTTCATCCATTGTGGGGGTTTATAGTTCACATAAGTCTAATCTCAGTGTCTCCTGTCATCTGAACCATGACAAGGAAGCTTTACAAGGCAAAGGGACCAAAGGCCCTGAAGGGAGCTAAGCAAGTCCCCAGGACATCTGGGAGAACATGTTTGCTTCGCTGTGTTCGGGTGTTCAGGCTGTGAATGTGTTGATGATTTAATCGAACAGGACTGTGTACACACGTCTTCAGAAATGTAGAGCCAGCTACTCCTAGAACACATCCCAAGGCCATCCGCAGTGGTCCTCTCAGTATACCTGAGTTCAAGAAAGAATATTTAGGTCCCTTTCTTGGCATCTGCTTAAGTCGTAGCAATGGAAGTTGACTTGTTCCATCCGATTATATTTACAGAAAATCAAAGTGGTTGCCAAGCCCAAGAAGGACAAGAGGCAAACTACCCAGTGTAAGTGATTACCACGGACTGTTAATGAGATCGATGGTGATATGGACATGTCCCCCATGGAACCCAGGAGAAAACAGCTCTGCAACTAGACAACCCCAAAGTAGATCCTTGAACTAATTTGCTTGCCTGCATTTATTTCAGGGGTTGGAAAGCAAGTTGATTTATTTCTTACTTTAAAATAGAGTTCAGGTGAGCAGATAATGTTCTACACTCTCTTATGGTAGGAGAAAAGCTTCATATTGGACACAGTAGTGAAAGAACAGGGCCTGGAATCCCCACATCAGGAAGCTTTCTTCACTGGGACTCTGCAAGTAAATTGCAGCAAAATGCAGGTTCCATGTTTCTCATGGTGTGCATGCCGTATCTGCACCATGCAGGGAGGTTGAGTCTCCTTGCTCAGCAGCATGTTATCTGACCAGTGCATTGAGGACCTGCTGCTCTGCAACCCCCCACCCCCACCCAACACCCACACTGTTCTTCAATTCCATCCACAGTCAGTCTCTGCGCTAGTCCGAGAAGGATTGTATGGTTCCTCTTCTCCAAAGGGAAAACCACTCTGCTGTCTCTGGCCCCTCATTTAGCCTCCCTTCAGGACCAACTGAGAAGTTGCCAAATCTAAACTTGCAGTTTTTAACATTCTATCTCCTCACACGCTTGGGTTCAACAGGGAACTACAAGAGGTGGAGGACATTACTGCAGTGTTGCAGGACTCTTTGAATGAGAAGTATTTGATTCATTCCAGGTGCTATGACTTGTGTGACTTCCACCAGACTCTTAACGCTCCAGAGTTCCAACCTGAGGAACAGCTTGTGTGGTGTTTTCTGGACATGGATGGTGAGGACACCCCTGAAAATTAGATTGGGGCCCCAGAGGTCTTCCATGGAGCATTCCCAGTCTTTAGCTCAACTCTCTGTGTGATTGAAAGCTGTGTCTGCTGCAAGCCCTGCAGATACTCCTTGGTTTGAGTGAAACTCTAGGACTGCATTCATGCACACACATAAGGACAGTCAGTTTTCACCCCTCCTAGACTCAGGGCACACCAGTCTGACTTGATGCACATTAGACCATGAAGGCTGTGGAAACAATGCATGCCATGGTGAGGAAAGTCAGTGCATCCTACAGTCTGTTTTCGTTTACTGGGTCATTTCATGTCCCTGTTACATGTCATTTCTGAACAGTGTTCCTTCAGCATCACCCATTGTCTAAGGGCGATGTTAGGCTTGCCCCTACTTTTGGAGTTGGTACTGCGATTGCGCAGCTCTGATCTCCAGTCTCTCTCCTCCTAGCTTCTCCTGAAAATGCATTCCTCTGAGCATCACTGTCTTTGCCTATGTGAGGAATTTTCCTGAAGGAAAGGTCACACCCTGGCACCCCCACATTACATGAGTGGCAAAGATCCTGTACCCTAGATTCCTGAAAGTACTTCATCCATTGTGGGGGTTTATAGTTCACATAAGTCTAATCTCAGTGTCTCCTGTCATCTGAACCATGACAAGGAAGCTTTACAAGGCAAAGGGACCAAAGGCCCTGAAGGGAGCTAAGCAAGTCCCCCAGGACATCTGGGAGAACATGTTTGCTTCGCTGTGTTCGGGTGTTCAGGCTGTGAATGTGTTGATGATTTAATCGAACAGGACTGTGTACACACGTCTTCAGAAATGTAGAGCCAGCTACTCCTAGAACACATCCCAAGGCCATCCGCAGTGGTCCTCTCAGTATATCTGAGTTCAAGAAAGAATATTTAGGTCCCTTTCTTGGCAGCTGCTTAAGTCGTAGCAATGTAAGTTGACTTGTTCCATCCGATTATATTTACAGAAAATCAAAGTGGTTGCCAAGCCCAAGAAGGACAAGAGGCAAACTACCCAGTGTAAGTGATTACCATGGACTGTTAATGAGATCGATGGTGATATGGACATGTCCCCCATGGAACCCAGGAGAAAACAGCTCTGCAACTAGACAACCCCAAAGTAGATCCTTGAACTAATTTGCTTGCCTGCATTTATTTCAGGGGTTGGAAAGCAAGTTGATTTATTTCTTACTTTAAAATAGAGTTCAGGTGAGCAGATAATGTTCTACACTCTCTTATGGTAGGAGAAAAGCTTCATATTGGACACAGTAGTGAAAGAACAGGGCCTGGAATCCCCACATCAGGAAGCTTTCTTCACTGGGACTCTGCAAGTAAATTGCAGCAAAATGCAGGTTCCATGTTTCTCATGGTGTGCATGCCGTATCTGCACCATGCAGGGAGGTTGAGTCTCCTTGCTCAGCAGCATGTTATCTGACCAGTGCATTGAGGACCTGCTGCTCTGCAACCCCCCCACCCCCACCCAACACCCACACTGTTCTTCAATTCCATCCACAGTCAGTCTCTGCGCTAGTCCGAGAAGGATTGTATGGTTCCTCTTCTCCAAAGGGAAAACCACTCTGCTGTCTCTGGCCCCTCATTTAGCCTCCCTTCAGGACCAACTGAGAAGTTGCCAAATCTAAACTTGCAGTTTTTAACATTCTATCTCCTCACACGCTTGGGTTCAACAGGGAACTACAAGAGGTGGAGGACATTACTGCAGTGTTGCAGGACTCTTTGAATGAGAAGTATTTGATTCATTCCAGGTGCTATGACTTGTGTGACTTCCACCAGACTCTTAACGCTCCAGAGTTCCAACCTGAGGAACAGCTTGTGTGGTGTTTTCTGGACATGGATGGTGAGGACACCCCTGAAAATTAGATTGGGGCCCCAGAGGTCTTCCATGGAGCATTCCCAGTCTTTAGCTCAACTCTCTGTGTGATTGAAAGCTGTGTCTGCTGCAAGCCCTGCAGATACTCCTTGGTTTGAGTGAAACTCTAGGACTGCATTCATGCACACACATAAGGACAGTCAGTTTTCACCCCTCCTAGACTCAGGGCACACCAGTCTGACTTGATGCACATTAGACCATGAAGGCTGTGGAAACAATGCATGCCATGGTGAGGAAAGTCAGTGCATCCTACAGTCTGTTTTCGTTTACTGGGTCATTTCATGTCCCTGTTACATGTCATTTCTGAACAGTGTTCCTTCAGCATCACCCATTGTCTAAGGGCGATGTTAGGCTTGCCCCTACTTTTGGAGTTGGTACTGCGATTGCGCAGCTCTGATCTCCAGTCTCTCTCCTCCTAGCTTCTCCTGAAAATGCATTCCTCTGAGCATCACTGTCTTTGCCTATGTGAGGAATTTTCCTGAAGGAAAGGTCACACCCTGGCACCCCCACATTACATGAGTGGCAAAGATCCTGTACCCTAGATTCCTGAAAGTACTTCATCCATTGTGGGGGTTTATAGTTCACATAAGTCTAATCTCAGTGTCTCCTGTCATCTGAACCATGACAAGGAAGCTTTACAAGGCAAAGGGACCAAAGGCCCTGAAGGGAGCTAAGCAAGTCCCCAGGACATCTGGGAGAACATGTTTGCTTCGCTGTGTTCGGGTGTTCAGGCTGTGAATGTGTTGATGATTTAATCGAACAGGACTGTGTACACACGTCTTCAGAAATGTAGAGCCAGCTACTCCTAGAACACATCCCAAGGCCATCCGCAGTGGTCCTCTCAGTATATCTGAGTTCAAGAAAGAATATTTAGGTCCCTTTCTTGGCAGCTGCTTAAGTCGTAGCAATGTAAGTTGACTTGTTCCATCCGATTATATTTACAGAAAATCAAAGTGGTTGCCAAGCCCAAGAAGGACAAGAGGCAAACTACCCAGTGTAAGTGATTACCATGGACTGTTAATGAGATCGATGGTGATATGGACATGTCCCCCATGGAACCCAGGAGAAAACAGCTCTGCAACTAGACAACCCCAAAGTAGATCCTTGAACTAATTTGCTTGCCTGCATTTATTTCAGGGGTTGGAAAGCAAGTTGATTTATTTCTTACTTTAAAATAGAGTTCAGGTGAGCAGATAATGTTCTACACTCTCTTATGGTAGGAGAAAAGCTTCATATTGGACACAGTAGTGAAAGAACAGGGCCTGGAATCCCCACATCAGGAAGCTTTCTTCACTGGGACTCTGCAAGTAAATTGCAGCAAAATGCAGGTTCCATGTTTCTCATGGTGTGCATGCCGTATCTGCACCATGCAGGGAGGTTGAGTCTCCTTGCTCAGCAGCATGTTATCTGACCAGTGCATTGAGGACCTGCTGCTCTGCAACCCCCCACCCCCACCCAACACCCACACTGTTCTTCAATTCCATCCACAGTCAGTCTCTGCGCTAGTCCGAGAAGGATTGTATGGTTCCTCTTCTCCAAAGGGAAAACCACTCTGCTGTCTCTGGCCCCTCATTTAGCCTCCCTTCAGGACCAACTGAGAAGTTGCCAAATCTAAACTTGCAGTTTTTAACATTCTATCTCCTCACACGCTTGGGTTCAACAGGGAACTACAAGAGGTGGAGGACATTACTGCAGTGTTGCAGGACTCTTTGAATGAGAAGTATTTGATTCATTCCAGGTGCTATGACTTGTGTGACTTCCACCAGACTCTTAACGCTCCAGAGTTCCAACCTGAGGAACAGCTTGTGTGGTGTTTTCTGGACATGGATGGTGAGGACACCCCTGAAAATTAGATTGGGGCCCCAGAGGTCTTCCATGGAGCATTCCCAGTCTTTAGCTCAACTCTCTGTGTGATTGAAAGCTGTGTCTGCTGCAAGCCCTGCAGATACTCCTTGGTTTGAGTGAAACTCTAGGACTGCATTCATGCACACACATAAGGACAGTCAGTTTTCACCCCTCCTAGACTCAGGGCACACCAGTCTGACTTGATGCACATTAGACCATGAAGGCTGTGGAAACAATGCATGCCATGGTGAGGAAAGTCAGTGCATCCTACAGTCTGTTTTCGTTTACTGGGTCATTTCATGTCCCTGTTACATGTCATTTCTGAACAGTGTTCCTTCAGCATCACCCATTGTCTAAGGGCGATGTTAGGCTTGCCCCTACTTTTGGAGTTGGTACTGCGATTGCGCAGCTCTGATCTCCAGTCTCTCTCCTCCTAGCTTCTCCTGAAAATGCATTCCTCTGAGCATCACTGTCATTGCCTATGTGAGGAATTTTCCTGAAGGAAAGGTCACACCCTGGCACCCCCACATTACATGAGTGGCAAAGATCCTGTACCCTAGATTCCTGAAAGTACTTCATCCATTGTGGGGGTTTATAGTTCACATAAGTCTAATCTCAGTGTCTCCTGTCATCTGAACCATGACAAGGAAGCTTTACAAGGCAAAGGGACCAAAGGCCCTGAAGGGAGCTAAGCAAGTCCCCCAGGACATCTGGGAGAACATGTTTGCTTCGCTGTGTTCGGGTGTTCAGGCTGTGAATGTGTTGATGATTTAATCGAACAGGACTGTGTACACACGTCTTCAGAAATGTAGAGCCAGCTACTCCTAGAACACATCCCAAGGCCATCCGCAGTGGTCCTCTCAGTATATCTGAGTTCAAGAAAGAATATTTAGGTCCCTTTCTTGGCAGCTGCTTAAGTCGTAGCAATGTAAGTTGACTTGTTCCATCCGATTATATTTACAGAAAATCAAAGTGGTTGCCAAGCCCAAGAAGGACAAGAGGCAAACTACCCAGTGTAAGTGATTACCATGGACTGTTAATGAGATCGATGGTGATATGGACATGTCCCCCATGGAACCCAGGAGAAAACAGCTCTGCAACTAGACAACCCCAAAGTAGATCCTTGAACTAATTTGCTTGCCTGCATTTATTTCAGGGGTTGGAAAGCAAGTTGATTTATTTCTTACTTTAAAATAGAGTTCAGGTGAGCAGATAATGTTCTACACTCTCTTATGGTAGGAGAAAAGCTTCATATTGGACACAGTAGTGAAAGAACAGGGCCTGGAATCCCCACATCAGGAAGCTTTCTTCACTGGGACTCTGCAAGTAAATTGCAGCAAAATGCAGGTTCCATGTTTCTCATGGTGTGCATGCCGTATCTGCACCATGCAGGGAGGTTGAGTCTCCTTGCTCAGCAGCATGTTATCTGACCAGTGCATTGAGGACCTGCTGCTCTGCAACCCCCCCACCCCCACCCAACACCCACACTGTTCTTCAATTCCATCCACAGTCAGTCTCTGCGCTAGTCCGAGAAGGATTGTATGGTTCCTCTTCTCCAAAGGGAAAACCACTCTGCTGTCTCTGGCCCCTCATTTAGCCTCCCTTCAGGACCAACTGAGAAGTTGCCAAATCTAAACTTGCAGTTTTTAACATTCTATCTCCTCACACGCTTGGGTTCAACAGGGAACTACAAGAGGTGGAGGACATTACTGCAGTGTTGCAGGACTCTTTGAATGAGAAGTATTTGATTCATTCCAGGTGCTATGACTTGTGTGACTTCCACCAGACTCTTAACGCTCCAGAGTTCCAACCTGAGGAACAGCTTGTGTGGTGTTTTCTGGACATGGATGGTGAGGACACCCCTGAAAATAGATTGGGGCCCCAGAGGTCTTCCATGGAGCATTCCCAGTCTTTAGCTCAACTCTCTGTGTGATTGAAAGCTGTGTCTGCTGCAAGCCCTGCAGATACTCCTTGGTTTGAGTGAAACTCTAGGACTGCATTCATGCACACACATAAGGACAGTCAGTTTTCACCCCTCCTAGACTCAGGGCACACCAGTCTGACTTGATGCACATTAGACCATGAAGGCTGTGGAAACAATGCATGCCATGGTGAGGAAAGTCAGTGCATCCTACAGTCTGTTTTCGTTTACTGGGTCATTTCATGTCCCTGTTACATGTCATTTCTGAACAGTGTTCCTTCAGCATCACCCATTGTCTAAGGGCGATGTTAGGCTTGCCCCTACTTTTGGAGTTGGTACTGCGATTGCGCAGCTCTGATCTCCAGTCTCTCTCCTCCTAGCTTCTCCTGAAAATGCATTCCTCTGAGCATCACTGTCATTGCCTATGTGAGGAATTTTCCTGAAGGAAAGGTCACACCCTGGCACCCCCACATTACATGAGTGGCAAAGATCCTGTACCCTAGATTCCTGAAAGTACTTCATCCATTGTGGGGGTTTATAGTTCACATAAGTCTAATCTCAGTGTCTCCTGTCATCTGAACCATGACAAGGAAGCTTTACAAGGCAAAGGGACCAAAGGCCCTGAAGGGAGCTAAGCAAGTCCCCAGGACATCTGGGAGAACATGTTTGCTTCGCTGTGTTCGGGTGTTCAGGCTGTGAATGTGTTGATGATTTAATCGAACAGGACTGTGTACACACGTCTTCAGAAATGTAGAGCCAGCTACTCCTAGAACACATCCCAAGGCCATCCGCAGTGGTCCTCTCAGTATATCTGAGTTCAAGAAAGAATATTTAGGTCCCTTTCTTGGCAGCTGCTTAAGTCGTAGCAATGTAAGTTGACTTGTTCCATCCGATTATATTTACAGAAAATCAAAGTGGTTGCCAAGCCCAAGAAGGACAAGAGGCAAACTACCCAGTGTAAGTGATTACCATGGACTGTTAATGAGATCGATGGTGATATGGACATGTCCCCCATGGAACCCAGGAGAAAACAGCTCTGCAACTAGACAACCCCAAAGTAGATCCTTGAACTAATTTGCTTGCCTGCATTTATTTCAGGGGTTGGAAAGCAAGTTGATTTATTTCTTACTTTAAAATAGAGTTCAGGTGAGCAGATAATGTTCTACACTCTCTTATGGTAGGAGAAAAGCTTCATATTGGACACAGTAGTGAAAGAACAGGGCCTGGAATCCCCACATCAGGAAGCTTTCTTCACTGGGACTCTGCAAGTAAATTGCAGCAAAATGCAGGTTCCATGTTTCTCATGGTGTGCATGCCGTATCTGCACCATGCAGGGAGGTTGAGTCTCCTTGCTCAGCAGCATGTTATCTGACCAGTGCATTGAGGACCTGCTGCTCTGCAACCCCCCACCCCCACCCAACACCCACACTGTTCTTCAATTCCATCCACAGTCAGTCTCTGCGCTAGTCCGAGAAGGATTGTATGGTTCCTCTTCTCCAAAGGGAAAACCACTCTGCTGTCTCTGGCCCCTCATTTAGCCTCCCTTCAGGACCAACTGAGAAGTTGCCAAATCTAAACTTGCAGTTTTTAACATTCTATCTCCTCACACGCTTGGGTTCAACAGGGAACTACAAGAGGTGGAGGACATTACTGCAGTGTTGCAGGACTCTTTGAATGAGAAGTATTGATTCATTCCAGGTGCTATGACTTGTGTGACTTCCACCAGACTCTTAACGCTCCAGAGTTCCAACCTGAGGAACAGCTTGTGTGGTGTTTTCTGGACATGGATGGTGAGGACACCCCTGAAAATAGATTGGGGCCCCAGAGGTCTTCCATGGAGCATTCCCAGTCTTTAGCTCAACTCTCTGTGTGATTGAAAGCTGTGTCTGCTGCAAGCCCTGCAGATACTCCTTGGTTTGAGTGAAACTCTAGGACTGCATTCATGCACACACATAAGGACAGTCAGTTTTCACCCCTCCTAGACTCAGGGCACACCAGTCTGACTTGATGCACATTAGACCATGAAGGCTGTGGAAACAATGCATGCCATGGTGAGGAAAGTCAGTGCATCCTACAGTCTGTTTTCGTTTACTGGGTCATTTCATGTCCCTGTTACATGTCATTTCTGAACAGTGTTCCTTCAGCATCACCCATTGTCTAAGGGCGATGTTAGGCTTGCCCCTACTTTTGGAGTTGGTACTGCGATTGCGCAGCTCTGATCTCCAGTCTCTCTCCTCCTAGCTTCTCCTGAAAATGCATTCCTCTGAGCATCACTGTCATTGCCTATGTGAGGAATTTTCCTGAAGGAAAGGTCACACCCTGGCACCCCCACATTACATGAGTGGCAAAGATCCTGTACCCTAGATTCCTGAAAGTACTTCATCCATTGTGGGGGTTTATAGTTCACATAAGTCTAATCTCAGTGTCTCCTGTCATCTGAACCATGACAAGGAAGCTTTACAAGGCAAAGGGACCAAAGGCCCTGAAGGGAGCTAAGCAAGTCCCCAGGACATCTGGGAGAACATGTTTGCTTCGCTGTGTTCGGGTGTTCAGGCTGTGAATGTGTTGATGATTTAATCGAACAGGACTGTGTACACACGTCTTCAGAAATGTAGAGCCAGCTACTCCTAGAACACATCCCAAGGCCATCCGCAGTGGTCCTCTCAGTATATCTGAGTTCAAGAAAGAATATTTAGGTCCCTTTCTTGGCAGCTGCTTAAGTCGTAGCAATGTAAGTTGACTTGTTCCATCCGATTATATTTACAGAAAATCAAAGTGGTTGCCAAGCCCAAGAAGGACAAGAGGCAAACTACCCAGTGTAAGTGATTACCATGGACTGTTAATGAGATCGATGGTGATATGGACATGTCCCCCATGGAACCCAGGAGAAAACAGCTCTGCAACTAGACAACCCCAAAGTAGATCCTTGAACTAATTTGCTTGCCTGCATTTATTTCAGGGGTTGGAAAGCAAGTTGATTTATTTCTTACTTTAAAATAGAGTTCAGGTGAGCAGATAATGTTCTACACTCTCTTATGGTAGGAGAAAAGCTTCATATTGGACACAGTAGTGAAAGAACAGGGCCTGGAATCCCCACATCAGGAAGCTTTCTTCACTGGGACTCTGCAAGTAAATTGCAGCAAAATGCAGGTTCCATGTTTCTCATGGTGTGCATGCCGTATCTGCACCATGCAGGGAGGTTGAGTCTCCTTGCTCAGCAGCATGTTATCTGACCAGTGCATTGAGGACCTGCTGCTCTGCAACCCCCCACCCCCACCCAACACCCACACTGTTCTTCAATTCCATCCACAGTCAGTCTCTGCGCTAGTCCGAGAAGGATTGTATGGTTCCTCTTCTCCAAAGGGAAAACCACTCTGCTGTCTCTGGCCCCTCATTTAGCCTCCCTTCAGGACCAACTGAGAAGTTGCCAAATCTAAACTTGCAGTTTTTAACATTCTATCTCCTCACACGCTTGGGTTCAACAGGGAACTACAAGAGGTGGAGGACATTACTGCAGTGTTGCAGGACTCTTTGAATGAGAAGTATTGATTCATTCCAGGTGCTATGACTTGTGTGACTTCCACCAGACTCTTAACGCTCCAGAGTTCCAACCTGAGGAACAGCTTGTGTGGTGTTTTCTGGACATGGATGGTGAGGACACCCCTGAAAATAGATTGGGGCCCCAGAGGTCTTCCATGGAGCATTCCCAGTCTTTAGCTCAACTCTCTGTGTGATTGAAAGCTGTGTCTGCTGCAAGCCCTGCAGATACTCCTTGGTTTGAGTGAAACTCTAGGACTGCATTCATGCACACACATAAGGACAGTCAGTTTTCACCCCTCCTAGACTCAGGGCACACCAGTCTGACTTGATGCACATTAGACCATGAAGGCTGTGGAAACAATGCATGCCATGGTGAGGAAAGTCAGTGCATCCTACAGTCTGTTTTCGTTTACTGGGTCATTTCATGTCCCTGTTACATGTCATTTCTGAACAGTGTTCCTTCAGCATCACCCATTGTCTAAGGGCGATGTTAGGCTTGCCCCTACTTTTGGAGTTGGTACTGCGATTGCGCAGCTCTGATCTCCAGTCTCTCTCCTCCTAGCTTCTCCTGAAAATGCATTCCTCTGAGCATCACTGTCATTGCCTATGTGAGGAATTTTCCTGAAGGAAAGGTCACACCCTGGCACCCCCACATTACATGAGTGGCAAAGATCCTGTACCCTAGATTCCTGAAAGTACTTCATCCATTGTGGGGGTTTATAGTTCACATAAGTCTAATCTCAGTGTCTCCTGTCATCTGAACCATGACAAGGAAGCTTTACAAGGCAAAGGGACCAAAGGCCCTGAAGGGAGCTAAGCAAGTCCCCAGGACATCTGGGAGAACATGTTTGCTTCGCTGTGTTCGGGTGTTCAGGCTGTGAATGTGTTGATGATTTAATCGAACAGGACTGTGTACACACGTCTTCAGAAATGTAGAGCCAGCTACTCCTAGAACACATCCCAAGGCCATCCGCAGTGGTCCTCTCAGTATATCTGAGTTCAAGAAAGAATATTTAGGTCCCTTTCTTGGCAGCTGCTTAAGTCGTAGCAATGTAAGTTGACTTGTTCCATCCGATTATATTTACAGAAAATCAAAGTGGTTGCCAAGCCCAAGAAGGACAAGAGGCAAACTACCCAGTGTAAGTGATTACCATGGACTGTTAATGAGATCGATGGTGATATGGACATGTCCCCCATGGAACCCAGGAGAAAACAGCTCTGCAACTAGACAACCCCAAAGTAGATCCTTGAACTAATTTGCTTGCCTGCATTTATTTCAGGGGTTGGAAAGCAAGTTGATTTATTTCTTACTTTAAAATAGAGTTCAGGTGAGCAGATAATGTTCTACACTCTCTTATGGTAGGAGAAAAGCTTCATATTGGACACAGTAGTGAAAGAACAGGGCCTGGAATCCCCACATCAGGAAGCTTTCTTCACTGGGACTCTGCAAGTAAATTGCAGCAAAATGCAGGTTCCATGTTTCTCATGGTGTGCATGCCGTATCTGCACCATGCAGGGAGGTTGAGTCTCCTTGCTCAGCAGCATGTTATCTGACCAGTGCATTGAGGACCTGCTGCTCTGCAACCCCCCACCCCCACCCAACACCCACACTGTTCTTCAATTCCATCCACAGTCAGTCTCTGCGCTAGTCCGAGAAGGATTGTATGGTTCCTCTTCTCCAAAGGGAAAACCACTCTGCTGTCTCTGGCCCCTCATTTAGCCTCCCTTCAGGACCAACTGAGAAGTTGCCAAATCTAAACTTGCAGTTTTTAACATTCTATCTCCTCACACGCTTGGGTTCAACAGGGAACTACAAGAGGTGGAGGACATTACTGCAGTGTTGCAGGACTCTTTGAATGAGAAGTATTGATTCATTCCAGGTGCTATGACTTGTGTGACTTCCACCAGACTCTTAACGCTCCAGAGTTCCAACCTGAGGAACAGCTTGTGTGGTGTTTTCTGGACATGGATGGTGAGGACACCCCTGAAAATAGATTGGGGCCCCAGAGGTCTTCCATGGAGCATTCCCAGTCTTTAGCTCAACTCTCTGTGTGATTGAAAGCTGTGTCTGCTGCAAGCCCTGCAGATACTCCTTGGTTTGAGTGAAACTCTAGGACTGCATTCATGCACACACATAAGGACAGTCAGTTTTCACCCCTCCTAGACTCAGGGCACACCAGTCTGACTTGATGCACATTAGACCATGAAGGCTGTGGAAACAATGCATGCCATGGTGAGGAAAGTCAGTGCATCCTACAGTCTGTTTTCGTTTACTGGGTCATTTCATGTCCCTGTTACATGTCATTTCTGAACAGTGTTCCTTCAGCATCACCCATTGTCTAAGGGCGATGTTAGGCTTGCCCCTACTTTTGGAGTTGGTACTGCGATTGCGCAGCTCTGATCTCCAGTCTCTCTCCTCCTAGCTTCTCCTGAAAATGCATTCCTCTGAGCATCACTGTCATTGCCTATGTGAGGAATTTTCCTGAAGGAAAGGTCACACCCTGGCACCCCCACATTACATGAGTGGCAAAGATCCTGTACCCTAGATTCCTGAAAGTACTTCATCCATTGTGGGGGTTTATAGTTCACATAAGTCTAATCTCAGTGTCTCCTGTCATCTGAACCATGACAAGGAAGCTTTACAAGGCAAAGGGACCAAAGGCCCTGAAGGGAGCTAAGCAAGTCCCCAGGACATCTGGGAGAACATGTTTGCTTCGCTGTGTTCGGGTGTTCAGGCTGTGAATGTGTTGATGATTTAATCGAACAGGACTGTGTACACACGTCTTCAGAAATGTAGAGCCAGCTACTCCTAGAACACATCCCAAGGCCATCCGCAGTGGTCCTCTCAGTATATCTGAGTTCAAGAAAGAATATTTAGGTCCCTTTCTTGGCAGCTGCTTAAGTCGTAGCAATGTAAGTTGACTTGTTCCATCCGATTATATTTACAGAAAATCAAAGTGGTTGCCAAGCCCAAGAAGGACAAGAGGCAAACTACCCAGTGTAAGTGATTACCATGGACTGTTAATGAGATCGATGGTGATATGGACATGTCCCCCATGGAACCCAGGAGAAAACAGCTCTGCAACTAGACAACCCCAAAGTAGATCCTTGAACTAATTTGCTTGCCTGCATTTATTTCAGGGGTTGGAAAGCAAGTTGATTTATTTCTTACTTTAAAATAGAGTTCAGGTGAGCAGATAATGTTCTACACTCTCTTATGGTAGGAGAAAAGCTTCATATTGGACACAGTAGTGAAAGAACAGGGCCTGGAATCCCCACATCAGGAAGCTTTCTTCACTGGGACTCTGCAAGTAAATTGCAGCAAAATGCAGGTTCCATGTTTCTCATGGTGTGCATGCCGTATCTGCACCATGCAGGGAGGTTGAGTCTCCTTGCTCAGCAGCATGTTATCTGACCAGTGCATTGAGGACCTGCTGCTCTGCAACCCCCCACCCCCACCCAACACCCACACTGTTCTTCAATTCCATCCACAGTCAGTCTCTGCGCTAGTCCGAGAAGGATTGTATGGTTCCTCTTCTCCAAAGGGAAAACCACTCTGCTGTCTCTGGCCCCTCATTTAGCCTCCCTTCAGGACCAACTGAGAAGTTGCCAAATCTAAACTTGCAGTTTTTAACATTCTATCTCCTCACACGCTTGGGTTCAACAGGGAACTACAAGAGGTGGAGGACATTACTGCAGTGTTGCAGGACTCTTTGAATGAGAAGTATTGATTCATTCCAGGTGCTATGACTTGTGTGACTTCCACCAGACTCTTAACGCTCCAGAGTTCCAACCTGAGGAACAGCTTGTGTGGTGTTTTCTGGACATGGATGGTGAGGACACCCCTGAAAATAGATTGGGGCCCCAGAGGTCTTCCATGGAGCATTCCCAGTCTTTAGCTCAACTCTCTGTGTGATTGAAAGCTGTGTCTGCTGCAAGCCCTGCAGATACTCCTTGGTTTGAGTGAAACTCTAGGACTGCATTCATGCACACACATAAGGACAGTCAGTTTTCACCCCTCCTAGACTCAGGGCACACCAGTCTGACTTGATGCACATTAGACCATGAAGGCTGTGGAAACAATGCATGCCATGGTGAGGAAAGTCAGTGCATCCTACAGTCTGTTTTCGTTTACTGGGTCATTTCATGTCCCTGTTACATGTCATTTCTGAACAGTGTTCCTTCAGCATCACCCATTGTCTAAGGGCGATGTTAGGCTTGCCCCTACTTTTGGAGTTGGTACTGCGATTGCGCAGCTCTGATCTCCAGTCTCTCTCCTCCTAGCTTCTCCTGAAAATGCATTCCTCTGAGCATCACTGTCATTGCCTATGTGAGGAATTTTCCTGAAGGAAAGGTCACACCCTGGCACCCCCACATTACATGAGTGGCAAAGATCCTGTACCCTAGATTCCTGAAAGTACTTCATCCATTGTGGGGGTTTATAGTTCACATAAGTCTAATCTCAGTGTCTCCTGTCATCTGAACCATGACAAGGAAGCTTTACAAGGCAAAGGGACCAAAGGCCCTGAAGGGAGCTAAGCAAGTCCCCCAGGACATCTGGGAGAACATGTTTGCTTCGCTGTGTTCGGGTGTTCAGGCTGTGAATGTGTTGATGATTTAATCGAACAGGACTGTGTACACACGTCTTCAGAAATGTAGAGCCAGCTACTCCTAGAACACATCCCAAGGCCATCCGCAGTGGTCCTCTCAGTATATCTGAGTTCAAGAAAGAATATTTAGGTCCCTTTCTTGGCAGCTGCTTAAGTCGTAGCAATGTAAGTTGACTTGTTCCATCCGATTATATTTACAGAAAATCAAAGTGGTTGCCAAGCCCAAGAAGGACAAGAGGCAAACTACCCAGTGTAAGTGATTACCATGGACTGTTAATGAGATCGATGGTGATATGGACATGTCCCCCATGGAACCCAGGAGAAAACAGCTCTGCAACTAGACAACCCCAAAGTAGATCCTTGAACTAATTTGCTTGCCTGCATTTATTTCAGGGGTTGGAAAGCAAGTTGATTTATTTCTTACTTTAAAATAGAGTTCAGGTGAGCAGATAATGTTCTACACTCTCTTATGGTAGGAGAAAAGCTTCATATTGGACACAGTAGTGAAAGAACAGGGCCTGGAATCCCCACATCAGGAAGCTTTCTTCACTGGGACTCTGCAAGTAAATTGCAGCAAAATGCAGGTTCCATGTTTCTCATGGTGTGCATGCCGTATCTGCACCATGCAGGGAGGTTGAGTCTCCTTGCTCAGCAGCATGTTATCTGACCAGTGCATTGAGGACCTGCTGCTCTGCAACCCCCCACCCCCACCCAACACCCACACTGTTCTTCAATTCCATCCACAGTCAGTCTCTGCGCTAGTCCGAGAAGGATTGTATGGTTCCTCTTCTCCAAAGGGAAAACCACTCTGCTGTCTCTGGCCCCTCATTTAGCCTCCCTTCAGGACCAACTGAGAAGTTGCCAAATCTAAACTTGCAGTTTTTAACATTCTATCTCCTCACACGCTTGGGTTCAACAGGGAACTACAAGAGGTGGAGGACATTACTGCAGTGTTGCAGGACTCTTTGAATGAGAAGTATTGATTCATTCCAGGTGCTATGACTTGTGTGACTTCCACCAGACTCTTAACGCTCCAGAGTTCCAACCTGAGGAACAGCTTGTGTGGTGTTTTCTGGACATGGATGGTGAGGACACCCCTGAAAAATAGATTGGGGCCCCAGAGGTCTTCCATGGAGCATTCCCAGTCTTTAGCTCAACTCTCTGTGTGATTGAAAGCTGTGTCTGCTGCAAGCCCTGCAGATACTCCTTGGTTTGAGTGAAACTCTAGGACTGCATTCATGCACACACATAAGGACAGTCAGTTTTCACCCCTCCTAGTCTCAGGGCACACCAGTCTGACTTGATGCACATTAGACCATGAAGGCTGTGGAAACAATGCATGCCATGGTGAGGAAAGTCAGTGCATCCTACAGTCTGTTTTCGTTTACTGGGTCATTTCATGTCCCTGTTACATGTCATTTCTGAACAGTGTTCCTTCAGCATCACCCATTGTCTAAGGGCGATGTTAGGCTTGCCCCTACTTTTGGAGTTGGTACTGCGATTGCGCAGCTCTGATCTCCAGTCTCTCTCCTCCTAGCTTCTCCTGAAAATGCATTCCTCTGAGCATCACTGTCATTGCCTATGTGAGGAATTTTCCTGAAGGAAAGGTCACACCCTGGCACCCCCACATTACATGAGTGGCAAAGATCCTGTACCCTAGATTCCTGAAAGTACTTCATCCATTGTGGGGGTTTATAGTTCACATAAGTCTAATCTCAGTGTCTCCTGTCATCTGAACCATGACAAGGAAGCTTTACAAGGCAAAGGGACCAAAGGCCCTGAAGGGAGCTAAGCAAGTCCCCCAGGACATCTGGGAGAACATGTTTGCTTCGCTGTGTTCGGGTGTTCAGGCTGTGAATGTGTTGATGATTTAATCGAACAGGACTGTGTACACACGTCTTCAGAAATGTAGAGCCAGCTACTCCTAGAACACATCCCAAGGCCATCCGCAGTGGTCCTCTCAGTATATCTGAGTTCAAGAAAGAATATTTAGGTCCCTTTCTTGGCAGCTGCTTAAGTCGTAGCAATGTAAGTTGACTTGTTCCATCCGATTATATTTACAGAAAATCAAAGTGGTTGCCAAGCCCAAGAAGGACAAGAGGCAAACTACCCAGTGTAAGTGATTACCATGGACTGTTAATGAGATCGATGGTGATATGGACATGTCCCCCATGGAACCCAGGAGAAAACAGCTCTGCAACTAGACAACCCCAAAGTAGATCCTTGAACTAATTTGCTTGCCTGCATTTATTTCAGGGGTTGGAAAGCAAGTTGATTTATTTCTTACTTTAAAATAGAGTTCAGGTGAGCAGATAATGTTCTACACTCTCTTATGGTAGGAGAAAAGCTTCATATTGGACACAGTAGTGAAAGAACAGGGCCTGGAATCCCCACATCAGGAAGCTTTCTTCACTGGGACTCTGCAAGTAAATTGCAGCAAAATGCAGGTTCCATGTTTCTCATGGTGTGCATGCCGTATCTGCACCATGCAGGGAGGTTGAGTCTCCTTGCTCAGCAGCATGTTATCTGACCAGTGCATTGAGGACCTGCTGCTCTGCAACCCCCCACCCCCACCCAACACCCACACTGTTCTTCAATTCCATCCACAGTCAGTCTCTGCGCTAGTCCGAGAAGGATTGTATGGTTCCTCTTCTCCAAAGGGAAAACCACTCTGCTGTCTCTGGCCCCTCATTTAGCCTCCCTTCAGGACCAACTGAGAAGTTGCCAAATCTAAACTTGCAGTTTTTAACATTCTATCTCCTCACACGCTTGGGTTCAACAGGGAACTACAAGAGGTGGAGGACATTACTGCAGTGTTGCAGGACTCTTTGAATGAGAAGTATTGATTCATTCCAGGTGCTATGACTTGTGTGACTTCCACCAGACTCTTAACGCTCCAGAGTTCCAACCTGAGGAACAGCTTGTGTGGTGTTTTCTGGACATGGATGGTGAGGACACCCCTGAAAATAGATTGGGGCCCCAGAGGTCTTCCATGGAGCATTCCCAGTCTTTAGCTCAACTCTCTGTGTGATTGAAAGCTGTGTCTGCTGCAAGCCCTGCAGATACTCCTTGGTTTGAGTGAAACTCTAGGACTGCATTCATGCACACACATAAGGACAGTCAGTTTTCACCCCTCCTAGACTCAGGGCACACCAGTCTGACTTGATGCACATTAGACCATGAAGGCTGTGGAAACAATGCATGCCATGGTGAGGAAAGTCAGTGCATCCTACAGTCTGTTTTCGTTTACTGGGTCATTTCATGTCCCTGTTACATGTCATTTCTGAACAGTGTTCCTTCAGCATCACCCATTGTCTAAGGGCGATGTTAGGCTTGCCCCTACTTTTGGAGTTGGTACTGCGATTGCGCAGCTCTGATCTCCAGTCTCTCTCCTCCTAGCTTCTCCTGAAAATGCATTCCTCTGAGCATCACTGTCATTGCCTATGTGAGGAATTTTCCTGAAGGAAAGGTCACACCCTGGCACCCCCACATTACATGAGTGGCAAAGATCCTGTACCCTAGATTCCTGAAAGTACTTCATCCATTGTGGGGGTTTATAGTTCACATAAGTCTAATCTCAGTGTCTCCTGTCATCTGAACCATGACAAGGAAGCTTTACAAGGCAAAGGGACCAAAGGCCCTGAAGGGAGCTAAGCAAGTCCCCCAGGACATCTGGGAGAACATGTTTGCTTCGCTGTGTTCGGGTGTTCAGGCTGTGAATGTGTTGATGATTTAATCGAACAGGACTGTGTACACACGTCTTCAGAAATGTAGAGCCAGCTACTCCTAGAACACATCCCAAGGCCATCCGCAGTGGTCCTCTCAGTATATCTGAGTTCAAGAAAGAATATTTAGGTCCCTTTCTTGGCAGCTGCTTAAGTCGTAGCAATGTAAGTTGACTTGTTCCATCCGATTATATTTACAGAAAATCAAAGTGGTTGCCAAGCCCAAGAAGGACAAGAGGCAAACTACCCAGTGTAAGTGATTACCATGGACTGTTAATGAGATCGATGGTGATATGGACATGTCCCCCATGGAACCCAGGAGAAAACAGCTCTGCAACTAGACAACCCCAAAGTAGATCCTTGAACTAATTTGCTTGCCTGCATTTATTTCAGGGGTTGGAAAGCAAGTTGATTTATTTCTTACTTTAAAATAGAGTTCAGGTGAGCAGATAATGTTCTACACTCTCTTATGGTAGGAGAAAAGCTTCATATTGGACACAGTAGTGAAAGAACAGGGCCTGGAATCCCCACATCAGGAAGCTTTCTTCACTGGGACTCTGCAAGTAAATTGCAGCAAAATGCAGGTTCCATGTTTCTCATGGTGTGCATGCCGTATCTGCACCATGCAGGGAGGTTGAGTCTCCTTGCTCAGCAGCATGTTATCTGACCAGTGCATTGAGGACCTGCTGCTCTGCAACCCCCCACCCCCACCCAACACCCACACTGTTCTTCAATTCCATCCACAGTCAGTCTCTGCGCTAGTCCGAGAAGGATTGTATGGTTCCTCTTCTCCAAAGGGAAAACCACTCTGCTGTCTCTGGCCCCTCATTTAGCCTCCCTTCAGGACCAACTGAGAAGTTGCCAAATCTAAACTTGCAGTTTTTAACATTCTATCTCCTCACACGCTTGGGTTCAACAGGGAACTACAAGAGGTGGAGGACATTACTGCAGTGTTGCAGGACTCTTTGAATGAGAAGTATTGGATTCATTCCAGGTGCTATGACTTGTGTGACTTCCACCAGACTCTTAACGCTCCAGAGTTCCAACCTGAGGAACAGCTTGTGTGGTGTTTTCTGGACATGGATGGTGAGGACACCCCTGAAAAATAGATTGGGGCCCCAGAGGTCTTCCATGGAGCATTCCCAGTCTTTAGCTCAACTCTCTGTGTGATTGAAAGCTGTGTCTGCTGCAAGCCCTGCAGATACTCCTTGGTTTGAGTGAAACTCTAGGACTGCATTCATGCACACACATAAGGACAGTCAGTTTTCACCCCTCCTAGTCTCAGGGCACACCAGTCTGACTTGATGCACATTAGACCATGAAGGCTGTGGAAACAATGCATGCCATGGTGAGGAAAGTCAGTGCATCCTACAGTCTGTTTTCGTTTACTGGGTCATTTCATGTCCCTGTTACATGTCATTTCTGAACAGTGTTCCTTCAGCATCACCCATTGTCTAAGGGCGATGTTAGGCTTGCCCCTACTTTTGGAGTTGGTACTGCGATTGCGCAGCTCTGATCTCCAGTCTCTCTCCTCCTAGCTTCTCCTGAAAATGCATTCCTCTGAGCATCACTGTCATTGCCTATGTGAGGAATTTTCCTGAAGGAAAGGTCACACCCTGGCACCCCCACATTACATGAGTGGCAAAGATCCTGTACCCTAGATTCCTGAAAGTACTTCATCCATTGTGGGGGTTTATAGTTCACATAAGTCTAATCTCAGTGTCTCCTGTCATCTGAACCATGACAAGGAAGCTTTACAAGGCAAAGGGACCAAAGGCCCTGAAGGGAGCTAAGCAAGTCCCCCAGGACATCTGGGAGAACATGTTTGCTTCGCTGTGTTCGGGTGTTCAGGCTGTGAATGTGTTGATGATTTAATCGAACAGGACTGTGTACACACGTCTTCAGAAATGTAGAGCCAGCTACTCCTAGAACACATCCCAAGGCCATCCGCAGTGGTCCTCTCAGTATATCTGAGTTCAAGAAAGAATATTTAGGTCCCTTTCTTGGCAGCTGCTTAAGTCGTAGCAATGTAAGTTGACTTGTTCCATCCGATTATATTTACAGAAAATCAAAGTGGTTGCCAAGCCCAAGAAGGACAAGAGGCAAACTACCCAGTGTAAGTGATTACCATGGACTGTTAATGAGATCGATGGTGATATGGACATGTCCCCCATGGAACCCAGGAGAAAACAGCTCTGCAACTAGACAACCCCAAAGTAGATCCTTGAACTAATTTGCTTGCCTGCATTTATTTCAGGGGTTGGAAAGCAAGTTGATTTATTTCTTACTTTAAAATAGAGTTCAGGTGAGCAGATAATGTTCTACACTCTCTTATGGTAGGAGAAAAGCTTCATATTGGACACAGTAGTGAAAGAACAGGGCCTGGAATCCCCACATCAGGAAGCTTTCTTCACTGGGACTCTGCAAGTAAATTGCAGCAAAATGCAGGTTCCATGTTTCTCATGGTGTGCATGCCGTATCTGCACCATGCAGGGAGGTTGAGTCTCCTTGCTCAGCAGCATGTTATCTGACCAGTGCATTGAGGACCTGCTGCTCTGCAACCCCCCACCCCCACCCAACACCCACACTGTTCTTCAATTCCATCCACAGTCAGTCTCTGCGCTAGTCCGAGAAGGATTGTATGGTTCCTCTTCTCCAAAGGGAAAACCACTCTGCTGTCTCTGGCCCCTCATTTAGCCTCCCTTCAGGACCAACTGAGAAGTTGCCAAATCTAAACTTGCAGTTTTTAACATTCTATCTCCTCACACGCTTGGGTTCAACAGGGAACTACAAGAGGTGGAGGACATTACTGCAGTGTTGCAGGACTCTTTGAATGAGAAGTATTGATTCATTCCAGGTGCTATGACTTGTGTGACTTCCACCAGACTCTTAACGCTCCAGAGTTCCAACCTGAGGAACAGCTTGTGTGGTGTTTTCTGGACATGGATGGTGAGGACACCCCTGAAAATAGATTGGGGCCCCAGAGGTCTTCCATGGAGCATTCCCAGTCTTTAGCTCAACTCTCTGTGTGATTGAAAGCTGTGTCTGCTGCAAGCCCTGCAGATACTCCTTGGTTTGAGTGAAACTCTAGGACTGCATTCATGCACACACATAAGGACAGTCAGTTTTCACCCCTCCTAGTCTCAGGGCACACCAGTCTGACTTGATGCACATTAGACCATGAAGGCTGTGGAAACAATGCATGCCATGGTGAGGAAAGTCAGTGCATCCTACAGTCTGTTTTCGTTTACTGGGTCATTTCATGTCCCTGTTACATGTCATTTCTGAACAGTGTTCCTTCAGCATCACCCATTGTCTAAGGGCGATGTTAGGCTTGCCCCTACTTTTGGAGTTGGTACTGCGATTGCGCAGCTCTGATCTCCAGTCTCTCTCCTCCTAGCTTCTCCTGAAAATGCATTCCTCTGAGCATCACTGTCATTGCCTATGTGAGGAATTTTCCTGAAGGAAAGGTCACACCCTGGCACCCCCACATTACATGAGTGGCAAAGATCCTGTACCCTAGATTCCTGAAAGTACTTCATCCATTGTGGGGGTTTATAGTTCACATAAGTCTAATCTCAGTGTCTCCTGTCATCTGAACCATGACAAGGAAGCTTTACAAGGCAAAGGGACCAAAGGCCCTGAAGGGAGCTAAGCAAGTCCCCAGGACATCTGGGAGAACATGTTTGCTTCGCTGTGTTCGGGTGTTCAGGCTGTGAATGTGTTGATGATTTAATCGAACAGGACTGTGTACACACGTCTTCAGAAATGTAGAGCCAGCTACTCCTAGAACACATCCCAAGGCCATCCGCAGTGGTCCTCTCAGTATATCTGAGTTCAAGAAAGAATATTTAGGTCCCTTTCTTGGCAGCTGCTTAAGTCGTAGCAATGTAAGTTGACTTGTTCCATCCGATTATATTTACAGAAAATCAAAGTGGTTGCCAAGCCCAAGAAGGACAAGAGGCAAACTACCCAGTGTAAGTGATTACCATGGACTGTTAATGAGATCGATGGTGATATGGACATGTCCCCCATGGAACCCAGGAGAAAACAGCTCTGCAACTAGACAACCCCAAAGTAGATCCTTGAACTAATTTGCTTGCCTGCATTTATTTCAGGGGTTGGAAAGCAAGTTGATTTATTTCTTACTTTAAAATAGAGTTCAGGTGAGCAGATAATGTTCTACACTCTCTTATGGTAGGAGAAAAGCTTCATATTGGACACAGTAGTGAAAGAACAGGGCCTGGAATCCCCACATCAGGAAGCTTTCTTCACTGGGACTCTGCAAGTAAATTGCAGCAAAATGCAGGTTCCATGTTTCTCATGGTGTGCATGCCGTATCTGCACCATGCAGGGAGGTTGAGTCTCCTTGCTCAGCAGCATGTTATCTGACCAGTGCATTGAGGACCTGCTGCTCTGCAACCCCCCCACCCCCACCCAACACCCACACTGTTCTTCAATTCCATCCACAGTCAGTCTCTGCGCTAGTCCGAGAAGGATTGTATGGTTCCTCTTCTCCAAAGGGAAAACCACTCTGCTGTCTCTGGCCCCTCATTTAGCCTCCCTTCAGGACCAACTGAGAAGTTGCCAAATCTAAACTTGCAGTTTTTAACATTCTATCTCCTCACACGCTTGGGTTCAACAGGGAACTACAAGAGGTGGAGGACATTACTGCAGTGTTGCAGGACTCTTTGAATGAGAAGTATTGATTCATTCCAGGTGCTATGACTTGTGTGACTTCCACCAGACTCTTAACGCTCCAGAGTTCCAACCTGAGGAACAGCTTGTGTGGTGTTTTCTGGACATGGATGGTGAGGACACCCCTGAAAAATAGATTGGGGCCCCAGAGGTCTTCCATGGAGCATTCCCAGTCTTTAGCTCAACTCTCTGTGTGATTGAAAGCTGTGTCTGCTGCAAGCCCTGCAGATACTCCTTGGTTTGAGTGAAACTCTAGGACTGCATTCATGCACACACATAAGGACAGTCAGTTTTCACCCCTCCTAGACTCAGGGCACACCAGTCTGACTTGATGCACATTAGACCATGAAGGCTGTGGAAACAATGCATGCCATGGTGAGGAAAGTCAGTGCATCCTACAGTCTGTTTTCGTTTACTGGGTCATTTCATGTCCCTGTTACATGTCATTTCTGAACAGTGTTCCTTCAGCATCACCCATTGTCTAAGGGCGATGTTAGGCTTGCCCCTACTTTTGGAGTTGGTACTGCGATTGCGCAGCTCTGATCTCCAGTCTCTCTCCTCCTAGCTTCTCCTGAAAATGCATTCCTCTGAGCATCACTGTCATTGCCTATGTGAGGAATTTTCCTGAAGGAAAGGTCACACCCTGGCACCCCCACATTACATGAGTGGCAAAGATCCTGTACCCTAGATTCCTGAAAGTACTTCATCCATTGTGGGGGTTTATAGTTCACATAAGTCTAATCTCAGTGTCTCCTGTCATCTGAACCATGACAAGGAAGCTTTACAAGGCAAAGGGACCAAAGGCCCTGAAGGGAGCTAAGCAAGTCCCCCAGGACATCTGGGAGAACATGTTTGCTTCGCTGTGTTCGGGTGTTCAGGCTGTGAATGTGTTGATGATTTAATCGAACAGGACTGTGTACACACGTCTTCAGAAATGTAGAGCCAGCTACTCCTAGAACACATCCCAAGGCCATCCGCAGTGGTCCTCTCAGTATATCTGAGTTCAAGAAAGAATATTTAGGTCCCTTTCTTGGCAGCTGCTTAAGTCGTAGCAATGTAAGTTGACTTGTTCCATCCGATTATATTTACAGAAAATCAAAGTGGTTGCCAAGCCCAAGAAGGACAAGAGGCAAACTACCCAGTGTAAGTGATTACCATGGACTGTTAATGAGATCGATGGTGATATGGACATGTCCCCCATGGAACCCAGGAGAAAACAGCTCTGCAACTAGACAACCCCAAAGTAGATCCTTGAACTAATTTGCTTGCCTGCATTTATTTCAGGGGTTGGAAAGCAAGTTGATTTATTTCTTACTTTAAAATAGAGTTCAGGTGAGCAGATAATGTTCTACACTCTCTTATGGTAGGAGAAAAGCTTCATATTGGACACAGTAGTGAAAGAACAGGGCCTGGAATCCCCACATCAGGAAGCTTTCTTCACTGGGACTCTGCAAGTAAATTGCAGCAAAATGCAGGTTCCATGTTTCTCATGGTGTGCATGCCGTATCTGCACCATGCAGGGAGGTTGAGTCTCCTTGCTCAGCAGCATGTTATCTGACCAGTGCATTGAGGACCTGCTGCTCTGCAACCCCCCACCCCCACCCAACACCCACACTGTTCTTCAATTCCATCCACAGTCAGTCTCTGCGCTAGTCCGAGAAGGATTGTATGGTTCCTCTTCTCCAAAGGGAAAACCACTCTGCTGTCTCTGGCCCCTCATTTAGCCTCCCTTCAGGACCAACTGAGAAGTTGCCAAATCTAAACTTGCAGTTTTTAACATTCTATCTCCTCACACGCTTGGGTTCAACAGGGAACTACAAGAGGTGGAGGACATTACTGCAGTGTTGCAGGACTCTTTGAATGAGAAGTATTGGATTCATTCCAGGTGCTATGACTTGTGTGACTTCCACCAGACTCTTAACGCTCCAGAGTTCCAACCTGAGGAACAGCTTGTGTGGTGTTTTCTGGACATGGATGGTGAGGACACCCCTGAAAATAGATTGGGGCCCCAGAGGTCTTCCATGGAGCATTCCCAGTCTTTAGCTCAACTCTCTGTGTGATTGAAAGCTGTGTCTGCTGCAAGCCCTGCAGATACTCCTTGGTTTGAGTGAAACTCTAGGACTGCATTCATGCACACACATAAGGACAGTCAGTTTTCACCCCTCCTAGACTCAGGGCACACCAGTCTGACTTGATGCACATTAGACCATGAAGGCTGTGGAAACAATGCATGCCATGGTGAGGAAAGTCAGTGCATCCTACAGTCTGTTTTCGTTTACTGGGTCATTTCATGTCCCTGTTACATGTCATTTCTGAACAGTGTTCCTTCAGCATCACCCATTGTCTAAGGGCGATGTTAGGCTTGCCCCTACTTTTGGAGTTGGTACTGCGATTGCGCAGCTCTGATCTCCAGTCTCTCTCCTCCTAGCTTCTCCTGAAAATGCATTCCTCTGAGCATCACTGTCATTGCCTATGTGAGGAATTTTCCTGAAGGAAAGGTCACACCCTGGCACCCCCACATTACATGAGTGGCAAAGATCCTGTACCCTAGATTCCTGAAAGTACTTCATCCATTGTGGGGGTTTATAGTTCACATAAGTCTAATCTCAGTGTCTCCTGTCATCTGAACCATGACAAGGAAGCTTTACAAGGCAAAGGGACCAAAGGCCCTGAAGGGAGCTAAGCAAGTCCCCAGGACATCTGGGAGAACATGTTTGCTTCGCTGTGTTCGGGTGTTCAGGCTGTGAATGTGTTGATGATTTAATCGAACAGGACTGTGTACACACGTCTTCAGAAATGTAGAGCCAGCTACTCCTAGAACACATCCCAAGGCCATCCGCAGTGGTCCTCTCAGTATATCTGAGTTCAAGAAAGAATATTTAGGTCCCTTTCTTGGCAGCTGCTTAAGTCGTAGCAATGTAAGTTGACTTGTTCCATCCGATTATATTTACAGAAAATCAAAGTGGTTGCCAAGCCCAAGAAGGACAAGAGGCAAACTACCCAGTGTAAGTGATTACCATGGACTGTTAATGAGATCGATGGTGATATGGACATGTCCCCCATGGAACCCAGGAGAAAACAGCTCTGCAACTAGACAACCCCAAAGTAGATCCTTGAACTAATTTGCTTGCCTGCATTTATTTCAGGGGTTGGAAAGCAAGTTGATTTATTTCTTACTTTAAAATAGAGTTCAGGTGAGCAGATAATGTTCTACACTCTCTTATGGTAGGAGAAAAGCTTCATATTGGACACAGTAGTGAAAGAACAGGGCCTGGAATCCCCACATCAGGAAGCTTTCTTCACTGGGACTCTGCAAGTAAATTGCAGCAAAATGCAGGTTCCATGTTTCTCATGGTGTGCATGCCGTATCTGCACCATGCAGGGAGGTTGAGTCTCCTTGCTCAGCAGCATGTTATCTGACCAGTGCATTGAGGACCTGCTGCTCTGCAACCCCCCACCCCCACCCAACACCCACACTGTTCTTCAATTCCATCCACAGTCAGTCTCTGCGCTAGTCCGAGAAGGATTGTATGGTTCCTCTTCTCCAAAGGGAAAACCACTCTGCTGTCTCTGGCCCCTCATTTAGCCTCCCTTCAGGACCAACTGAGAAGTTGCCAAATCTAAACTTGCAGTTTTTAACATTCTATCTCCTCACACGCTTGGGTTCAACAGGGAACTACAAGAGGTGGAGGACATTACTGCAGTGTTGCAGGACTCTTTGAATGAGAAGTATTGGATTCATTCCAGGTGCTATGACTTGTGTGACTTCCACCAGACTCTTAACGCTCCAGAGTTCCAACCTGAGGAACAGCTTGTGTGGTGTTTTCTGGACATGGATGGTGAGGACACCCCTGAAAATAGATTGGGGCCCCAGAGGTCTTCCATGGAGCATTCCCAGTCTTTAGCTCAACTCTCTGTGTGATTGAAAGCTGTGTCTGCTGCAAGCCCTGCAGATACTCCTTGGTTTGAGTGAAACTCTAGGACTGCATTCATGCACACACATAAGGACAGTCAGTTTTCACCCCTCCTAGACTCAGGGCACACCAGTCTGACTTGATGCACATTAGACCATGAAGGCTGTGGAAACAATGCATGCCATGGTGAGGAAAGTCAGTGCATCCTACAGTCTGTTTTCGTTTACTGGGTCATTTCATGTCCCTGTTACATGTCATTTCTGAACAGTGTTCCTTCAGCATCACCCATTGTCTAAGGGCGATGTTAGGCTTGCCCCTACTTTTGGAGTTGGTACTGCGATTGCGCAGCTCTGATCTCCAGTCTCTCTCCTCCTAGCTTCTCCTGAAAATGCATTCCTCTGAGCATCACTGTCATTGCCTATGTGAGGAATTTTCCTGAAGAAAGGTCACAGATACTCCTTGGTTTGAGTGAAACTCTAGGACTGCATTCATGCATACACATAAGGACAGTCAGTTTTCACCCCTCCTAGTCTTAGGGTACACCAGTCTGACTTGATGTACATTAACAAGTGCACGATGTGCTATCAATGGACACCAGGGTGAGGAGAGTGAGTCAATAATACGGTCTGTTTATTATTGGATCATCTCCACTCCTTGATAAACATTATTTCTGAACAGTGCTCCTTCAGAGTCAGCCATTCTCCAAGGAGGACGGTAGTTCTGCCCATAATTTGGAATTGCTGGTATGATTGCTCAGCTATGATCTCCAGCTCCTCATTTCCTGGCCTGTCCTCAGTAAACATTCTCTGAGTACCTAAACCTCCAACCACTATCATGGCCTTTGTGCAAAACTTCCCTGAAGGGAAAGTCACACCCTGGCATCCCCTAACTTACATCCATTGCAAGACTCCTGTACCAAAGATGGCTGATAGTGATCAAACCTGTGGGAGTTTCTATTTCATAACAAATCTAATCTCAGTATGTGTTGTCATCTGAAGCGAGACAAACAAACTGTACCACCTCAAAGGTGAGCAGAGGTCCAAAGGCTGCTAAGCAAGGACCCCATGATGTCTGCAGTAGGAGAGGGAAATGCATGCTCGACTGCATTCCAGTGTTCAGACTCTGAAGGAGTGTTGAGGATTTAAAGAACAGGACTGTCTACATGACTGTTCTGGAGAAGGAGAGCCAGCTAGTCCTAGAACACATCCCAAGGCCACCTGCAGTGGTCTCCTGAGAACACCGAGTTCAAGAGAGAATATTAATTCATGTCCTGTGTTTGCAGGTGTTAGAAAAAAGTAGCAATGTAAGGTGACTTGATCCATCTGATTATTTTCAGAAAATGAAATTGCTTACAAAGCTGGAGAAAGACAGGAGGCAAAGGCTGCCAGGTAGGTGATTGGCAAGGAGTGTTACTGAGACCTAAGGTGATGTAAACTTGTCCCCTGAGAATCCCAGAAGAATATAGCTCAGGAATTTTACCATTGCACACTTGATCCTTAAGCTGTTTTGCATTCTTCTTTTATTTTCGTGGCTTGTCCAACTTTTTACAATTAATTTTCTAACATGAAAAATAGAGTTCAGGTGACAAAAGTGCTCTACTGTCTCTTATGTTACACGAAAAGATTCATCTTACACACAATAGTGAAAGAACAAGGCCTGGAGTGGCCATATTAGGAAGTTTTCTTCTCTGGAATCCTGGAAGTAAAGTGGAGAAAAATACAGCTTCTGTGGTTCTCATGGTGTGCCTGCCATTCCTTCACCATCCAGGGAAGTTGAGTCTCCTGGCTCAGCAGCATGTTATCTGACTAGTACATTGAGGACCTTGTGCTTTCCACACCTCCGCCCCCCCTTCCATTTACTCACACTGTTTTCAACCTCCATCAACACTCACTCTCGGACCTACTCAGAGTATTGCATGCTTCCTCTTTTCCAAAGGGAAAGCCATTCTTCCTTCTCTAGCCCCTCAGTTAGCCTTCTTGCAGGACCAAGTGAGAAGTTGTCAAGTCTAAACTTTCACCGTTTAACCTTTTTTTCTCCCACACTTCCGTTCAGCAGGGATCTGCAAGAGGCGGCGGACATTAGTGCAGTGCTGCAGCACTCAGTGGATTGAGATATATGTGGCTCCTTCCAGTTGCCAGGACTGGTGTGATGTCCACCAGACTCCCGATACTCCAGCATCCACACCTGAGGAGCAGGTTGGGAGCTGGATTCTGGATACAGATGGTGAGTACACCAATAGAAAAAAAGGGTAAAGCTCCCCATGGACTCCCTCAGAGCCTGCTTGTTCTATATCTCAGCTGTCTGTGTGGTAGAAATCTGTCTCTGCTGCAAGCCCTGCAGATACACCTCAGTTGAGTCAACTCTTGGACTGTTTTCATGTGCAGACATAAGGGCAATCAGTTTTCAACCTAGTGTGGGGGCACACCTGTCTGACTTGATGCACATTAGACCATGAAGGCTGTGGAAACAATGCATGCCAGTGATTCCTACAGTCTGTTTTTTTTTCCTGGGTCATTTCATGAACCTGTTAAATGTCATTTCTGAACAGTGTTCCTTCAGCATCACCCATTGTCTAAGGGTGATGTTAGGCTTGCCCCAGACTTTTGAGTTGGTGCTCTGATTGCTCACCTCTGATCTCCAGTCTCCTCTCCTCATAGCTTCTGAGCATCACTATCATTGCCTATGTGAGGAATTTTCCTGAAGGAAAGGTCACACCCTGGCACCCCCAAATTACATGAGTGGCAAAGATCCTGTACCCTAGATCCTGAAAGTATTTCATGCAATTGTGGGAGTTTATATTTCACATGAGTCTAATCTCAGTGTCTCAAGCCCTGCAGATACATTTCAGTTTGTGTCCAACTCTAGTACTGCCTTCATGTACAGAGTGAGGAAAGTTAGTTTTTCACACTTTCTAGTCTCAGGGCACACCTGTCTGACTTCATGCACATTAGCAAGTGCACGTGTGGAATAGTCACGCTTTGGTAACTGCAGTGCCTGAATCCTACATTGTTTTTTAATTTGTCATGGTATCTCACTGTTAACTGTCATTTGAACAATGTTCCTTCAGCATCAATGTTTCTAAAGAGGGTGTTAGTGTTGCCCAATTTTTTTGTATTTGTTTTCATCATTGCTCAGCTCTGACCTCCAGTCTTTCTCCTCCTGGCTTGTCCTGAGTAAGCATTCCTCTGAGTATCTAAACAATCCCCACTTTTTTGCCCTACATATATTATTTTCTTTGAAGGTAATGTCATACCCTGGCACCCTTCAATTTACATGAATGGCAAAGATTCTGTACCAGAAAATGCTGAAAATATTTCCTTCCCTCGTGAGAGTTTATATTTCACATAAATCTAATCTCAGATGAGAATCTCTGTTGTCATCTGAACCAAGATGAGCATGCTTTCCTATGAGGCAAGTTGAGCAAAGGTCCAGAAAGCAGCTAAGCATGTCCCCCAGGATATCTGTCAGAAAGCTTAACTGTTTTCCAGTGTTTGGGCTGTGAATATGATGATTTAACAGAACAGGACTGTCTACTCAATGGTTATGGAAAACAGAGCCAGCTACTCCAAGAATATACCCCAAAGCCACCTGCATGTTACTCTCAGAATGCTCAAGTTCAAGAGAGAATATTTATGTCCCTCTTTACAGTTGTAAAGAAATGTCAATGAAGATGATATATTCCATCTGGTTTATATTTTCAGAAAATAAAATTAGTCTCAACGCTGGAGAAGGACAAGATGCAAAGGTTTCCAGGTGAGCGATTACTAAGCACTATCAATGTGACTTAAGGTGATTGTGGTCACATCCCTTGCAGATCCCAGGAGAAAAACAGCTCTGTATTTAGACAACCACAAAGTAGATCTTTAAATGGTTTTGCTTCCCTTCTTTTATTTTCTTCAGATCATAACCATTTCTAATTAATTTATTAAATTAATACAGAGTTCAGCTGAGTAAAAATGCTCTACAGTCTCTTATATTTGGAGAAAAGATTAATCTTAAACACAATAGTGAAAGAATAAAGCCTGGAATGCAAATGTCAGAAAGGTTTTTCACTGGAATCCTGCAAGTAATGTGGAGCAAAATGCAATTTCTGTGGTTCTCATGGTGTGCATGTCATCCCTGCCCATACAGGGAGGTTGGACTCCTTATTCACCAGCATGTTATCTGACCTCCTTGAGCACCATTGATCTCCACTGAATACCCCCTTCTCTCAAATTCTACCTCCACTGCCACAACCCCCCCTGACACACACACATACACGCTGTTCTCAAATTCCCTTTATAGTCTTACTTTGTCTTAGTCACAGAGGATTTTTTGGAATGTCCTATTTGCATTTTGTCACCTCCCATTTAGGCTATCCATCAGTGCAAGTGAAATATACTTAAGTCCACAGTTTCATTGTTTAACATTCTCTTTTCCTTACACACTTGGGCTCATCAGGGAGCTAAACAGGGATGCAAGCCTTACGCAGTGCACCAGGACTCATTGCATGAGCAGATTTTGGCACCATCCTCTTGCTATGACCTGTCTGAGTTCCACCAGCCTCCCAACACTCCTGCCTTCCTATCTGAGGAGCACATGGTGTGCAGTCCTCCAGCTGTGTCAGGGTGAGTACCCAACTGCAGAGAGAATAAGGCTCCCAATGGTCTCCCATGTAGCCTCCCTATCCTTTACCTTAGCCTTCTGTCTGTTAGACAGCTTCTCTCTGTCCCAGGCCCTACTGCTTACACCTGGGTTTCAGTCAAACTCCAGGAGTGGGTTTAAGCACAGATGTAAGGTGGGTCAGGCAGCTTGTACTTTTCCCGGTTTCATGCCACACTTCTCACCTTGGTATACACTGGCAAATGCAGTGTATGGAAACAGTACAGACCAGGGTAAGGAGACTGAGTGAATCTCACAGTCTGTATTGTAATGGATCATCTCAACTCTTCATCAATTGTCTTGTTAAATGTCATTTCTGAACAGTGTTCCTTCAGCATCTGCAGTTTGGATAGTGATCTTATCTGTGCTTTTGGAGATGTTTACTAAGGTTGCTGAACACTAGGCTCCAGTCCATCTCCTCCCAACTTGTCCTTCTTTAGCATTCTTCTGAGTACCTGAACATTCTTGCACTATCATCCTTGCTTTGGTATTCAATTTTCCCTGAAGGCAAGGCTGAATCCTGGTACCCCAAACCTCAGTGAAGAGCAAGGATGCTGTGCCCAGGACAGCAAAAAGAATTCCTTATCTTGAGGCAGTTTGTATGTTTCACCTAAATCTAATCTCAGTGTCTATTACCACGTAAAACCAGAAAAAGGAAGGTATGTGATGGGAGAAGTTGGCAAGTGCTCCCAAAGGCAGCTAGACAATTTCCCAGGATCTCTGTGGAGAAATTGGATGCTTAACTGTTTTTGCAGTGTTCAAACAGTGGACATGTGTTGATGATTTATCAGAACAAGACTATCATCTATGCAGTGGTTCAGGAAAACAGAACCAGCTACTCCTAGAACACATCCCACATCCAAGTGGTCCTTTCTGGGACCCCAGTTCAACAGATAATATTTAAGTCCCTGTGTTTGCAGTGCATAAAGTGGTAGCAATATAAGGTGACTTGTTCCATCTGATTATATTTCAGAAAACAAAAATTAGTTACAAAGCTGGAGAAGAACAAGAGACAAAAGCTCCAAGGTAAATAATTACCAAGGACTATAAATGGCACCTAAGATGATGTGGACATGTCCCCTGCACATCCCAGGAGAAAATAGCTCTGCAATCAGACAACCACAAAGTAGATCCTTAAATTAATTTGCTTCTCTTCTTGTATACTCTTGAGTTCAAAACCATTTCTAATTAACTTCTTAAATAAAAATAGAGTTTAGATGTGATAAGTGCTCCTGGCTTTCAATAGTCACATATATGACCACTGAATGATCAAAAAATAAGAGAGGGATACACACCCACTCTCTGCATTTTGCACCTTAGCTCTTTGACAGGTTTTCCATAGCAGGGAAAATTACTTGATACAAAGGAAAAAATTCTCTATCCCACATTAGGAAAGATGATGGCCTGATTCAAGTTCAGGTGGGAGAGGTGAGTGAATTGCTCCAGCAGTTACAGGAAAAAAGAGAGGCCTCCTTTTCCCTCAGTCAACATCTCAAGGTCCTCCACACTGAGGAAAACCCTGACAACCAGCAGGACTATGCAGAGCAACTGGCTGAGGCATGCAGGGTGGTGGAGCCCTTTGTCTACATGATGAGTGCAGGTAAGTTGACCACAACCTGATTATACCAAGGTTCCCAGTTTATGGGACATTCAACACCTTCAGTAGTAACACTTACCAGATGTCCTGGTTTCCAATCACAAGTGAGGTCACAGCAGAATGCACACAGCCTCAGTGGGAACAGAGTGGAGAAATGCACAGGATTAGTGGTCAAAGTATTCCAAATTTCTCTCTCATACATGATGGATGGCACGTGGTCTTTGGGGCAGGAGGGTGTATCCATCCAGTGCTTAAGAAAAGGAGGCAGATTCTTAGAGTGCTGAGAGCCTGGAATAAGAATGAAAGTTTCCTGTATTTTCCTGAACACTGACTTCCTGACTGTAGGCAAGTAGCTGATTTATCCTTTCTAGATTTCAGGTTTCTCATCTGTAAAGTGGTGAAAATTATGTTTTGCTTCCAAGCTGTAAAAATCGAATGAGGGAGTGCCCATCAATGCACATTAGTGAGAATAAAACCCCTTAGTGTCCCTAAATCCTGGAAATCATCATTTGAGAAGGAGGAAAGACATAGCTAGACAAATCCAGAAGAAATTGGAGAAGTATCCAGTGATCAGGAGAACAAAATACAGTTTAACTTTGCCCTTTAAACACAGATACCATAATAGTAGTCCACAAAATCAGGGTATTCTGGAAAAAGGGTCTCCATATTGTCATACACCATTTGTTTCTTTTACTTTTGATGCTACATGTATTTTTATTAGTATATATTAATTTTACAAAACTGTTTTTTTCTCATTTATTCATATGTGCATACATTGTTTGGGCCATTTCTCTCCCCTATCCCCCACCCCCTCTCTATTCACCCCTACCCCTTCCCTCACTTTCAGGCAGAATCTGTTCTGCCCTTATCTCCAATTTTGTAGAAGAGAGAACATAAACAATACAACTAGC